AGGGTTATGCAGCGAGCCTTCATAAACAGCTCCAGCCTATAAAATTGTTAGGGGAAAGCGCCTTGAGAAAGCACTTCGATCTGTAGAAGAAAAACCCACAATAAGGTTGACTGCAAACAAAACAGCCGCTCCGCCCATCAAACACACCCGTCGGCCCAATCGGTCAATGATTTGAGCACTGATAATGGTACCAATGATTCCAATTGTGTTGATTCCTCCAGCCAGACCGTTTTGCTTTATATCACTATAACCTGCCTGGGCAAGCAATGTCGGAGAATAGGCAGTGACAGCCTATAATTAATATTAGCAATGGCCGTTCACGGGACTGGTTGCGTAATTCACCGTAATACCTGTCCAGGACGCCATGATTTGAAGCCAAACACACAACCAAGCTCGTCGGCCCAGATTCAGCCCCGGCTTTCCACCCTTTCCAAATAATATCTTCACAAACTCAATCGGGGAGCTGCGCTTGCTTCCCTTTGCCGTGACTATAATCTCAAGGTATTCTCGGTCGATATCTTCCTGGGAGGCCCGGTCTTTGCGAATACGATTCAAAAGGTCTCGCGCTTCATCATTCCGCCCCACTGAGGCCAGGTAGCGGGGGCTATCCGGCAACATTTTGATAAAGGCAACTAGGAGGAGTGCCGGGAAACATTGGAAGGCGAGTAAGAAGCGCCATCTTACATCCGAGTAACCGTTATCGACGAAAGCGAGGCCGAAGGAGATCCAATATGCGACGGAGATTCCTAGATCTTGAAAATAATCCTTGTTAGAAAGGGCCCCCACAGTGGATATCATGAATTGACGACTCACAATTGGCAATAAAGACATAACCCAAAAAGCCCCCTCGATGGTTTGCGGAAGATGTCTCTGACACTAATACCGGGGTGATGCCAGTCAAAGCTGTAAGAAAAGAAAAAAAAATTAGAATCGTAGCCCCTTGTAAGCCCCAAGCTGAGACGCGACCAGGAAGGATTCTTACCCCCGGTCCCAATCCCTGTAACCACTCGAGCGCACAGCATAAAATTTGAATCCTGCGCGCCCGCCTGTAGGGCGCCACCTATTAGCGCAAATAATGATCCAACGAGTAGGCCGTTGATCCGACCAACTCGATCTGCGAGCCATCCGCCAGCGAAACAACCGAAGATTGCGCCCAGGTAATAGATGCTGACAATGCCACCCTGGTGAGTGGTGTCGGTCACTGTCCCATCTGGTTTACCAATGCCAACCTCTGTCACATATCTCGGTGCGCTATTGACGCCACCCATCACACCCTGGTCATATCCCTCGAAGAAGATGGAAATCAGTGAGAAGAGGTGAATGGCGACATTCAGTTGACGCGGCGAAAGTCGCTTCCATAGTGTCGTATAGCCCATGATAGATGATCAAAAATAATAAACCACTTCCCCAGAACCCCCATAAGGCGAAAAAGAAGCTATCTCAAGTAATCCTTGTCCTGGGACCCGCCCCCGGCATTTGTTGAAGAATGTGAAGGCCAAGATTGGTAAGACCGGGGACACTATGGAGCTGTCCATGCGGGGGGGGCCCAAGCCACGATATTTTTCAAGCGCGTAGCCATTTATCATTTGGAATTCCCTAATAGGCGTTTTGCCGATCATCCCTTCTGCCTTTTCAGTTGTCAACTAATGTTAGATCTATCAGAATCGGGAATGCCAGAGCGGAGATTTTTCGGTCTCCACCATCCATGGGTTGGTTCATTATGGGTATCGGCTGACAGGAACGGGTTTAGTTAAATAGGGGACTTGATCCTCAAGATGTTCTCCTTTTTTTTTTTCCCGAGTTGTTTCTGGTATTTCCGCGTGTTATTTGCAATTTGGAAATAAACTATGGGATCCCACTCCATTAATGGTAATGGCCATGGTTTAGATATCACCGTTTTGGGTCTGAACAGCGGAACGTCCATGGTGGGTGGTTGTCTATGCACTTGAGAAACACCAAACTCATCAGTTATAGGATGGTATCGACTGCGCTCTTTGTCGATTTCGCCAGGACACCCCCGAATCGCCCATGCACTTCGAACTACTTAAGGCAAGTACCTACTGGATTGCTCCACAGGGTACAACATACTGACCAATAACCGCAGTATGGAGAAATCCCACTTGAGCCGGTCATCAAAAAGAGGGTGATGAACATGATTCTCCATAATAAGACCTCACCTTCGGAGTTGTCTGAAGTGAACGTGCTCTTGGGCGAGACCTTCGCCTCAGCCGTGCACCAGTTTTGTAAGGATTACGATGTGGACATCAAATCGATCGATGTCCTCGGATCCCACGGCCAAACCATCTGGCTACTTTCCATGCCAGAGGCCGGCGAAACCCGCAGCGCTTTGACTATGGCTGAGGGCACATTCCTAGCCTCGCGCACGGGCATTACATCGGTCACCGATTTCCGGGTAAGTGATCAGGCAGCTGGACGTCAGGGAGCACCCCTCATTGCCTTTTTCGACGCGCTAGTGCTGCACCACCCAACAAAGCTACGTGCATGCCAGAATATCGGCGGTATCGCAAATGTTTGCTTTGTTCTCCCGGACAGCCACGGCGGAGTTGACGCCTGCTACGATTTCGACACCGGTCCAGGAAACGTGTTCATCGATGCCGTTGTGCGCCACTACACGAACGGCAAGCGCGAGTACGACCAGGATGGCGAGATGGGTGCCCGCGGTACCGTCGACCAGGAACTTGTCGACGATTTCCTGACACATCCTTACTTCGCGCTGGAGCCGCCCAAGACGACGGGTCGTGAGGTTTTCCGTGACACTATCGCCCACGAATTTATCGTCAAAGCCGAGGCCAAGGGCCTCAAGCCTGACGATGTCGTTGCCACCATTACCCGTGTTACCGCCCAGGCGATCGTGGACCATTACCGTCGCTACGCCCCCAAGGACCTCGAGATCGCCGAGATATTCATGTGCGGCGGTGGTGCTTACAACCCCAACATCGCCGCCTTTATCCAGGAAAATTACCCCAACACTCGTATTATGATGCTCGATGAGGCTGGTATCCCTGGTGGCGCTAAGGAGGCCATCACGTTTGCTTGGCAGGGTATGGAAGCTGTGGTCGGTCGCTCTATCCCTGTCCCCACTCGTGTCGAGACTCGCCAAGAATATGTCCTCGGTAAGGTGTCTCCGGGCAAAAACTACCGCAACGTCTTGCGTCAGGGCATGTCGTTTGGCGCTGGTCGTGATCATCTGCCCCCAGTGAATGAGATGATTAACTACGTTGATGGCAAGGCTTTCGACAACAAGTGGTAAATACGAGTTACGTACTTTTTCTTTTTTCTGTCAAGCCCTTTGCATACCGGTTTTGGGATGAATTTATATACTATTTAAGTTTTTTTCTTCTTGGCGAAGCCTTACAATGATAACGTACATATATATGGACTGACGAATGCGATGTTATTCTTGGTTATTTTCTCTAGGTGCCGGTGAATATTTCGAGATTCAGAAATGGGAATAGACTCAACCGGCAAATTTGATATGCGTTCAAAGTATAAAAACACCAAGCACGCGACCCACTACACTAGGACCACTAGCATAAACCGAGTTTTCATTAAGCTCTTTGTACATACATTAAATTTCGAGAGTAGATATCCATTCAGCCATTTTGGCAGTGCCGTCGGCACGTGCAGAAAAAAAAGCCCCGGCTGCCTCGGCAGTTGTTCGCCCGAACTTTTACCGGGTCTATCTGATCGTCTGTGGATGAGGTGGGCTACCTAATCCACCATTGCTCTTACATACCCCATAGTGGCGTGGGGATAGTTTTCTCCCCATATATCAATTGCCTATTTGGATCTAGACTTCGGGCAAAGCTGTTCCTCAGATCTAGGGACTGGTAGCCTTGTGGGGCGTTCTTCTAGACCCTTTTTGAGAGAAGGACTACGAACACATTCTTCAACTCGGACTCGTAGGGTCTCGCATAATGATCGGGTTTCTAAGACCTGATAGTTGCCGGGTTGAAACGGTGTACTAATTTGGACATTACCAATCAGACCAGGTATATCGCAATAAAAATGGTCTAAGGAAAATATAGGCCTCAGTGACCGTTCGCTCTAGGATATAGGCATTTAAGAACAGGAGGTTCATAGTTACTTCCTATATACATAGACAGTGCTATTAAGATAGGCCACGTGCTACCCTTGCTCGCTTGAAGTATATGGCAAGATCATTATTATTACACCTCATATATGACGAATTTGTTTCAATTCTTCGTTTCTCTGCTCATTTACCCCGCAATCTAAGTAGTGTAACGTTACAGTCCAGAGAAGCTTTAGAGACTTCAAGGGCTTAAGCGTATTTCGCCGAGATATCTAGATTATCCCTACCCCGTGAATGTGGTTTGGGGAGAGCATTGATGACTGACGATCTGCAAGGTCGTACTCGTCCACAGGCCAAGTCAATCTTCACCCAATCAACGATCAGCGACACTCGAGAATTCTCTATAACTGCCTCCACCTTACCTCGCTATAATATATTATATATTACGATACACGCGTTAAGTTGCGAGCGGGGGAGGTGGTGAATTGTCGAGACCATGCCAGCTTGCTACATAGAATAACCCCTGGCAGTTCAGATTGATTGTCGCTGTGCAGTTTCCTGCACTTTCTGCTCCTTTATTGTCGCGAAGCACTACTACCTGATAACACTACAATCTGGGAACAATTACCACCTGAGAGGACTATTCCCTGTAGATCCTATCTTCTAGGATACTCGGAATATCCCGTTCTAAACTGCCGTTTAGGATACAGGCTGCATACGAACTAAGAAATTAATCAAACCAAACCAAACCAAACCCCAATGGTACCCTTTCTAGGGGTTATACTGGACTATCCTCTCGCCATGATGTAACTGATCGTGGTAGCCGCCCCTTCCAATCTTGGAAGGTTATCAATAAACACCTGGGCACCTCGGGGGACTGTAAACCCCGCCTTCCTTGTTATATAAACCATTCCAATGAACAATTAACGTGTTATCTCTTCACACAATGTTCAATCTACACCGCATCACCTGCCTTCGGGCATTTGTTGTCGCCCTTGCTACGCTTGGGCCAGTCAATGCTGTACCCATTGCTAACGACCTCGCTGGTCGTGACACCGAAGGCCCCGCAGTATGGCCCACTCCTCAACAAATGACATTAACCAGCGGGAAGGTATCACTCAAGGGTGATGTAACCCTCGTGACCGACGATTTCGATGACTCGGCCACGATCTCCACGATCAAGGAAGTCGTGGCTGCCGCAGGTGGTAATGCTGTTCTTGCCAACAAGCCTAGTGGTAAAGGCACGCATATTTTCATTGGCACGGAGGAAGAAGCTGGAGTTGCTGTCGCTGCCGCCAAGGCTCTTGCTGGAAACTCTGCGAATGACCTCGACCCCGACGGCTATGTTTTTGCATGTGGCTATTATGAGCAAAAGCCAAGCATTGTACTCAATGGTGTGGACGAGCGTGGCACTTTCTATGCGGCACAGACTCTTCGTCAACTTCTTGACGGTGGCCATATTCCCGGTGTGAAGGTCCGCGATTGGCCGCTCATGTCTATCCGTGGCTCGATCGAGGGTTTCTACGGTGTCCCCTGGTCTCATCAGGCACGTCTTGATCAGTTTGCTTTCTATGGAAAGCACAAGATGAACACTTATGTGTACACACCCAAGGATGATCCACTTCTCCGCGCCAAATGGCGCACGCTTTATAGTGGCGACGAGCTTACTCAGCTCGAGGAGCTTGTTGAGACTGCAAATACCAACCATGTCGACTTCACCTATGCTCTTTCACCCGGCTTAGACATATGCTACTCGTCTAACGATGACTTTGATGCTACCGTCACCAAGTTTAACCAGCTGCGCGACTTTGGTGTCAGCAGCTTCTATATTGCGCTCGATGATATCCCTCTCGAATTCCATTGCGATGCCGACAAGAAGAAGTGGCCCGAAACAGAGGACGATGAATGGATTGCCGATGCCCAGGCCTTCTATCTAAACCGTGTTCAGACTGAATACATCGAGCCGAACGACCTCGATGATCTCGAGACCGTCCCGACCAACTATGCCGGCAGCGCAGCATCCCCGTACAAAACAGAATTCGGCACCAAGCTAAACAAGAAGATTCGCGTCCAATGGACCGGGGAAGGAGTCTTCAGCGACGACATTACAGTTGACAGTGTCGTGAAAGCCGACGCGAGCTACGTCACGGAAAACTTGTTCTTATGGGACAACTTCCCAGTCAACGACGGCAACCGTGATCGTCTATTCCTCAATCCTCTCACCAAACGTGCTGCCGAGCTATACAAGCATCTTCTTGGATTCACCTCAAACCCGATGAACCAGCCATATGCCTCTATGGCCGCACTCGCCAACTACGGAGACTATACATGGAATGGGCCATCGTACAACGCCACCAAGTCCATGGATGCAAGCCTATGGGAATTGTCGGGTAGTGACAAAACCGTCCACGAGGCACTCATTGCATTCGCCGACCTCAGCCAGAACTGGCCATACCAAAGCCCCGAAGTCAACGCGCCCAGCCTCACTAAGGACATTGCGGCTTTCTGGGCCGCTCGCAAAGCTGGCGCCAGTGACGGAACTGAGGCGTTGAAAGATCGCCTCGCACTCATTATCACCATCCCCGATGTGCTCCCCAAAATGGCTACCAAGGCCTTCGCTACGGACGTGGCGCCCTGGGCGACTGTTGCTAGGCAATGGGCGAGTGCCTGTCAGTGCTTGATTTCCATGCTCGAGGCGCTCGATAGAAAGGATCACAGCACAGCAGATGCTGAGTTCAGCTCTGCTAAAGAGTGGGTTGAGAAGACGAATGCTAAGACTGTTGATGACCGCAATACAGAGGGTGAGGACCTTCCTAAGTCGATTATCCCAATTACCGGTGACGGAGCGTTTGATACGTTCCTCACTAACGCCACAGCTATTTACAACCGGAGGTAAATGGTGATACGAGGTTGGCAGTATAAGTCGGATAAATAGATATAATGCACGCGTTGTATACGAAATGCAAAGATCCATACGAGGAAATAGTCATTGTCGTGGGAGTAAGGGTAATCAACCACATTCAATAGCACTATCAATCTGTGCACAAGTTCCTGATTTCGCATAAGAATAGTAGGCTCAAGAAACCGCATAAGGTCACCGAGGAGCGAGGAATTGTGTGATTCGGGGTATAACTCTCCCGTTGGATACTCTTCGTAAAGATAGATACAAAGAAGCACCACGAAACAAAGCTATTAGAAGAAACTACTTGCAATGTGTACACTCATCAATTCTTGGTAGCCTGATCCCACAGACTGCGCACGGTAACACCATCCACCCACCTACCCCCAGTCTCATCCTTCTGCACAATGAATTTCAGGGTCCGTTGCTCACCAGGAAGTAAAGAGAACGAGTTATCCTCAAAATATCCCACCACACCAGCAGGATAGTCAAGCCATGTATACAGCGAGACAGCACTCTGAGCTTCGACGGTGAATGCACCAGTCTTTGCATTACGCGACAGCTTGAGTTTCGGATTTTTCAGTGCCAGCTCCTTAGGAAAGACGGGCGTAAACTCGTTCCGGTGCGTGAAAGTAGTTAAAGTCTTGCTTTCAGCATTCGGGAGATGGCCATGAGCAGTGAGATCAATAACCAAAACGGCATCCTTCATATCAGACAGAGACAGCTCTGCCACATTGGTTTCGTAGATATTGGTAGTATTGAGTGCTCCAACGGAGAAATCTTTTGTCAAGGGAGTACCCGCGTTCCCGTGGATTGGCTTGCCAGACAAATCCGTCCAGGTAAGTTTGACCGTTCCCCGGACAGTCTCCCAGAGATCCGAAGTCACATAGATAGACAAATGGCCCGTCGTATGGTTCCAGAATGGGGAGACTATAACGGGCTGGAAGATATCGCGGGCGACATAGTGGAGGACCTTCCAGCGGCCGTCGTACTCGATTCCAGCCCACGTCGGAGCCTGCCAGATATCTTCGAGTTGCCAGTACAGGGAGCCGAGCTGGCGCTCTAGCATTCCGCTTCCGCGACGATAGAACTGGATTTCGGACTTGTACATGTCTGCTTGGAAAAGTTGGGTTGCGTGACACCAGGAACTGAAGTTGGCAATGGGGTCTTGCTTGTCGGGGATCGGGTAGTATAGCTCTACTGCTATGGTCATTTCGGCCATGCCCTTAGACGAGTTACTGTAGTTGTGGGTGCCTGGGCTTCCTGCTGGGTAGTGGTGGTTTCTGAGCATAATGGTGCTGCTGTTGAAGTGGAGGTCCTTCTCGTCTACGGCTTGCTGCCATGTTTGCAGACTCGGCATGCTGTGGTAGCCGAATTCGTTGGCGAAGCGGCCGATGGGGTAGTCAGCGGAGTTGAAGGCCTCCTTGGCATCGTAATGGTAGTAGTCTGTGTTACCATAATAATAGCCTTCTGCTGAGCCATTTTCATAACGTTCTACCATAGGAACTGGGGCAGACAGATCAACTTCTAGGAAACCGTTGTTGGTGCTGCTGGGCATGTATGAAATTGATCGCGAGTTCTCGTAAACCAACGGGAGAATCAGAGAGATGAACAGATGCTCGTAATCGCCAAGCCAGTGGGCGTAGGATGCAGGATCCGCTTTCTTAGCAGTTGGTAGCACCAAGTTTTCAAGCTCATTTCCACCAGCCCACAAAGCTAAGGATGGATGATGATTGACCCGTCTCGTATTGTAGACGATCTCGGCAGCAACATTGTCAAGGAACGGTTGATCCGTGGGATACAGAGCATCACCGAATTGGAACTCGCTCCATAGTAACACTCCGCGTTCGTCGGCGAGATCGTACATGAAGTCCGGAAGGTAAGCACCTGAAGCCCAGACCCGGAGCATATTCTGATTTCCAGCGACTACGGCATCAAACAGTCGTTTCATCTTGACCTCGGTGACCCGCGGCCAGAAAGCATCCGGTGGAATGAGGTTCGAGCCCTTGGCGTAGAACTCATGTCCATTCACCTCGAAATGCCAATTCGCGCCGGGTGCGATGCCCTGCGCCAGCTGGCCATCGGTGATGTTGGATCTGTTCAGAAAAATAGTACGGAAGCCAGTGCGTTTGGCTACGCTGGCGAGGTTCTGGTTTTTGTTCTGAATAGTGGCTGTAACGTTATACATGCTTTGCTTCCCCATTCCTGTGGGCCACCAGAGATTCGGTGCTGTCTGGAGATATTGTCAGACAGAATCTCTTATCCCGTAATTGAATACTTACTGCATCAACTATAGTAGTGCCGCTAATTGTTTGTCCAGATACAACAACATTATCCAACGATCCGGCCGTCAATACTTTGTCCGACTCGATGTCCTTGATTTCGATAGACATCGATGGATGGGTAGGCGGGGGGCCGAGGTAGTCAATACTTGCATTCACAACCCAGGGTTGACTCTGATCGGGAGCAAGGTGATTGACCTGGCCCTTTCGATAGATGTCAAATCCTGTGTTTAGAACATATAAGTCTTCCTCTTTCTCGGACTGCACCAGGTAGATATTCTGCCATGGACCAGCAGGCGAGAACGCTGGGCCCCAATCCCAGCCAAAGTCAGACTGTTCCTTGCGCATAAACCAGCGGTTAGGGAATTCAAAGGTTTGCTGAACACCAGTAGGCCATTCTGGAGACATTGTCAGACATAATATCTGTTATCCCGTTGTTGAATACTTACTGGGGGAGTTTGGATCAGCGGCAATCGCATTTTGGATCTTAGTGGCACTTCCAAAATCGAGAGAAACGATCGGGGAGCCCTTGCAATGTTTCAGGGCATTCGAGATGTCAAAGGTATACTGTCGGAACTGATTATCTGTAGTTCCTATCGAATGACCGCAGAACTCGATTGCTGTAAAAGTGTCAAGCCCATTAAACACGAGCCAGGAGGACTTGGTGTTTCTTGACCTGCGAAGAATCAGTAAGAATCCCAATTGACACAGCGAAGGACACAAACAAGCCCCTGATTGGTTTACTTGTATAAGTCCAATTACTGTCCACGATCCAACGCAAGTCGAAGTCATTCAACCCATAGTAGCTTTGGTGCGAGTCGAGTTAGTATAGACCCATTACAGGAGAAACGAGCTTCAACTAACGGTTCATCTGTTTTTTCTTTTGTTAGATCGGTCAATTCTTTTCAAACCAAAGAGGACTCACCAATAAAATTTGCAGCTAGAAGATCCAAATGCGCCTGTGAGGGGACACGGCCAGGGACGCTCACATTCAGCGTCTTGCTACTAACAGTCCATCCCTCACCACTCAAATCCAAAACATTCTGCCCCAGAGTTGTGGACAGAATTGATGGAAGCACTGCTAGTACAAGGTGATTCCAAAGATACATGGCGTCAAAATCCCAAACTCGGCTGAGATGCGAGATTGAGGGGTTTCGGTGCTACTGTCAGCCCTATTTATCTTTCTAGATCTGAAACCGGCAGCAGAAAGTCGGAGAATAAATTCGATGATCTACAATCAGAATACCATATCAATCACGGTGTTATTCGGAGTTGAAGTAGAATGGTGTCATACAGACATGTAGCCATCAGTACCCCTCGCGGGGAAAAGGTAACGGTAGCAGCACTAATGTACAAATGACAATACCCAGTAAGATGAAGGAAATTCCGATTATAGACCAACAGGATATACCTAAATAGGGACTGTAGTATTGGAGCTACAAAGTAACTATGTTGTATATAGAAAGTTGACAAGCTCAGCCTTGAAAGGCTTAATTTCTTAGCGCTGGGTCCAAGGGTATATAATATGCTGATCTCTGGATTAAATCGTATATTTGACGATATATGTATATAGTTTTATGTATATATATATATGTCCACCTAGGAATATGAACCCTTTGGGCTGTATTTTTCCCAAATATATTTCTTGAGTCTTTCTCCAGGGCCCCTTGCCTGAGATTCTTTCCCCCATTACCTTCTCTGTAATTTAGCAACTATTTTCCTATTATACATATTTACTCTATACACCCTTGTTTATATTTGTACAGACGTCTCCAGTTGATCCACTGTCAGGTTCTTACGCATCATCGACACATCACTCTGTGTAAACCCAAGACCATCAATGAGATAGCCCTCAGCGCCATTTTTATACGTGCTCTCAAATGATACCAGGAAAGCTGCCATGGAAGTAGCTCGAACACCACACAGTTCGAGCATACCCAGTTCCTCCGGAGTCAACTGGCCGGTGCCGACTCCACCACCCAAATTTATCGCAAATGCCTGCATAAGATTCTCCCGAGCGCTTTCCAGTCCAACTCGAGTGAGGATGTAATCGTTAATAATATCGTCATGAGGTCTATTTATCAAGAGGAGGATGAGGGCGGCGAAGACACCTGTGCGATCTTTCCCGGCTGTGGATGGGAACTTATGGTTAGCATTGATCTATTGTGAATGGGGGATTTGCACGCGACTAGAGCGAGGTGATACAGGTGGAACATACCCGAGCAATGAACGATGAACGGATCGTCCGGGTTATCTCTGATATGCTTGAATATCTCAGTGAAAGATGGGGCAGCCGCCTCGAGGATCCCGAAGTACATCTTCACGAACCCTGCCGCGCCCCTGTCTGGACCTGCGAAATCGCGGAGATTCAAAGTAGCCGGTCGAGCCCCGTATGGTAACCATATCGTCTTGACTCCGGTGATAGAAGGTGCGGGGGCTTTTTGTCGCTCGCCTTCATTCCGGAGGTCGAAAATAGTGGTGATGCCCAATTGAGTTGCGATGATCGATTTCCCGGGGCCCCAGATGTCGGACAAGTTTCCGGACCTATAAACGAACCCCGGGCGTAGTTTGTTGTTATCGTGACTCACGTCACGAAAGTTGGTGACACCTTGTATAGGGATAAATGGTGGCAGTGATGTGATCCGGGCTACGAGTGCCTGCGGGATGGGAGTTCTGATGTCGGTGTTTAATACCTCGCGGATTTGATCGGTTTCATGCATAATTATTTTGATTGAATGTACAGTGAATGGAAGGTCGAAATCAAATCCAAATTTGGGGATATAAAGAAGTTTGATTCGAACTATGTCATCGTCTCCATCGACTAATGGAGCCGAAACCTGGTGCAGGCACCAATGTCATCATATCCAATGACCTCAAGATTCATTTCCCAACTATTTTTTCAACATTTTTTGGTTTATTTTTGGAGAGAAAATTATTAGTAGAATTGTTAGTATTCATCTCGATGGTTTTCTCAGATATTCCTTTTTAGATATTTCCCTTTTATACACTCGGACAGTGCTTATTGACTTCAGACTCATAGGAGTCTACAAACTTAGGCCATGGAACTATTTTAAGAAGTCAATATAGCAATCAAAATAGCAAACAATATTTATATATCGCCTTTTGTGTAACTTCAACTTCCCACCAATCAACTCCATCTCCATTTTCTCAAAATCGAACTCGTCTATCTAACCATGGCATCTCCAGGCATCGACGGCAGAGTCGCAGACCTAGAACCGGACATACAATGGCGCATCAGCATAGCAATCTTCCGGTACAAAGAGAACGGGGAGCCCGCCGTCCTACTTCTGAAGCGAGCTACCGGTCAAGCCACCTATCGATGGTGGAATATTCCAACAGGCCCAGTTCTCAGCACCGATGTGACCATCCGCGATGCCGTGGAGCGCATAGTTCTCGACAAGACCGGTCTTGGACTCCAGGGCGACCACATTATCGAGGAGGTGGAGTTATTGAGGTGGGGATCTGAAGAGGAAGTCATCATCAAACTCAACTTTGTGATCTATGATGAATCTGGCGACATTGTCGCAATCCGTTACGACGAGTTCTTCGAATATGAATGGGTGGAAGAGGAACGTGTTGACACTCTCGCCATCCCTGTCTCAATGCAGGATGTGATCCACGATGGATTTGAACTACAACGCTTGGGAGTTTTTTGAGGTGAATGATATTTGAAGCCTCTTTGCTAAGGATGGAATAAGAAAGCAAAGAATACAATCACAATCACATTTATCAATCAATTGAGATATTCAAATGTTCAAATGTCTGTATTCTCTTCCCCGCATCGGATATTCGGTTGGCCGCGGTGATGTCAAGATGCCGATGCCAACCGCTCTCCGCACTCCCCCAGATTTAACACTCAAACATCCAATTTCCCACCTTTCTCCCATTGAAACAAATTAAAACTACAATGTTAATAGCAAGAGAGACCAAAATGTCTCTAAAGCTCCTGACTCGAAATGGCATTCGCAGTCAGCCCATAACCACAGCTCGCATCGTCCCCGCACGGAGGTGGAGTAGCTCCATCTCGCAGCTGCCGGGGTCAGACAGGTGATCGCTTCAAGGGCAACCTCTTTTTTTTTTTTTTTGGAAATGCTGACAATATGTTGATTTGTTTAGTGTTCAATTCCCCGGAGCTGTGAACAGCAAATTCACATCGGATATGGCCTTCCTCAAAGCCTCGGATCTGCCCGCTATCCCTACCTACCGAGTGATGGACTCGGACGGTTACCAGGTTGATAAGACGAGACCAGCACCCGATGTTACAAATGAGGAGGTCTTGACGTGGTACAAAAACATGCTTTCTGGTTAGTTAGCGCCCGCTTGATATGATATATCAAGTAGCTGACTTTTGGCATGCAGTAAGCGTTATGGACGTAGTTATGTTCGAGGCACAACGACAGGGTCGCCTGAGTTTCTACATGGTATGTTCAATTCGTCAAGAGTTAGAATGAGGACATGGCTTATCTGACGGGCTACCCGTAGGTTTCCGCCGGCGAAGAAGGCATCACAGTTGGATCTGCCGCAGCACTAACGCCAGATGATGTGGTCTTTGCACAATACCGCGAAGCCGGTGTATTTCAACAACGTGGATTCACACTAAAGAACTTCATGAGCCAACTCTTTGCCAATTGTAATGATACAGGCCGTGGTCGAAATATGCCAGTCCACTACGGACAGAACTACCCTCGCATGGTCAGTACCCCTACCTCCTGACTCCAACAACATACTTTTCCTGATCTCACACACCCAACAGCACACAATATCATCACCATTAGCCACACAAATCCCTCAAGCTGCCGGAGCAGCCTACGCCCTGAAACTCCAAGACCTCCAAAACCCAAACCGGGATCCACGCATTGTAGCCTGCTATTTCGGCGAAGGAGCCGCCAGCGAAGGCGATTTCCACGCCGCACTGAACATCGCCGCAACAAGGTCCTGCCCGGTCGTATTCATATGCCGAAACAACGGCTACGCAATCTCAACGCCAACACTAGAGCAGTACCGAGGCGATGGAATCGCCAGCCGCGGCGTGGGATACGGCATCGACACGATCCGTGTAGATGGCAACGACGTCTTCGCTGTAAACGAAGCAATGAGAGAGGCGCGTCGACTTGCCCTAAGTGAGGGCGGTCGACCTGTACTGATCGAAGCCATGAGCTATCGTGTCTCGCACCACAGTACCAGCGACGACAGCTTTGCGTACCGCGCGCGCGTCGAGGTTGAGGATTGGAAACGTCGTGATAATCCTATTATCCGGCTGCGGAAGTGGCTTGAGAATCAGGGGATTTGGAGCGAGGAACAAGAGAAGCAGACGCGGGATGAGATGCGGAAGGCGGTGTTGAAGGAATTTGGTGAGGCCGAACAGGAGAAGAAGCCTTCGCTTAGGGAGGCTTTTACGGATGTTTATGAGGAGATCACTGAGGAGCAGAGGGAACAGATGGCGGAGCTTAAGCGCATCTTGGAGACTTATCCTGATGAGTATGATCTGCGGCCGTATAAGGATGGCATTAATGGTTTGAATTGAGAGGGTTTGTCTCTACAAAATATATATGCGATCCTTGGGGATGTTAGAACGTTATGTTAAATACGAGGGCTATATCCATATAGATTCCAGTGATGTTCTGATAAAGGATGTTTTGTCATGATGCTTATTGAATACTCCGACTACATTCGTTTATGAGATCTCCCTCTGCGCCTAGCACTCCGACTTTGCGCAACAGCAACAGCAACAGCAACCTTGGGCACAGTGGAGAGACTCATATAGTTATCATCTGAGGCCAGATAAATAGCACCGAGCCCCATATCCTTCGCCAACCGAACAACATGATCAACATTGGCATCCCTAGGCGTCTGATTCAAAATAACAGCACTCTTTTCATAATGATCAGGCGTCGAGAAATGCTCATGAGGAGCCAGAGCCACCCAATTATCATAAGTATTCTCATACTCGACGATAAAGTCCGCCGCCGCAAACCACTTGCCAACATCAGCCGCGAGCTTGACGCCAGGGTTGAAGATGACGGTGTTTAAGCCGCTGCTCTTGGAATTCCTCGACAAGTTCTCGAAATAGGGGAGCTTGCTCGGATCTTCGCCGTTGGCTGCCTCGTCGAAGAAGATGCCGGAAAGGCGTATATTCTTCCCTGTGTAGGTGGCCCATTTGGCGTAGGCAGCGATGTCCTTTTCGACTTCGGAGCTGGATCGCGTGCCTTGTTTTGTGTGGGTGTAGCCTATTACGTTGGCGTTGGCATAGCTGTTTAGCTTCGCGATGGCCGTTATGAAGACTTCTTCTGGGTATACTGTGTCGCCGGGACCCGTGGATGGGTTGATAATTAGGTAGAATGGGATTGAGGGGTGGGCTGCGATTGAGTCGTAGATTGTATTCCATGCATCTATGCCGGGCCAGGCGTATAGTGGTACTAGTAGGCCGGTTGATATGACGGTTGAGGCTAGTGTAAGCACGGTAGCTATGATAGGAAGTAGTAGGAACATCGTTGGATATGGTGGGCTGAACGTGAGGAAGTCAACGAATGAATATAGCACCCAAGGAAGCCAACGATATATAAATTAGCGCAAGGAAGAGGGAAATAGGACAAACAAGACAGGAAATGGTATACTGAGTGAGCAATGCACGCTTTATACACCTAGGCATGTCGAGAGACTCGGGAAATAATATCCTATGGGAAGAAAGGGATCGGATAGCGACAGCAGAGTCAAAGATCAGCCTCAATCTCTATTGTTTCCTGGTCAAAAGTAGCAAGAGACCTAAAATGACACCAACCAGCCACATGTTTCAAGAGCCAGACTTCTTGGACACGAGGTAAATGGTTCATTCGCCCTGAATAGCCAAATAGGCCTCGTGTGATACCAAGAATGAGCTACTGTCGGATCCCTTCGGAGGAATGAGCCCTCATTAAATGTCTGGACGTGATTGAAATGTACAAAGTAGAGGAATGTGGAAGAGGTCCAGCCCTGGCGGAGTCAGTAATAGTAGATCTCCTAGAATATTCCCCCTTGATCTGTAGATATGGATGTTTTGAGCCATGTTAGACGATGCAAATCGGAATTCGGATATATTGCTCACTTGTAAAAGATTCAATGTAGTGAACGAGCCATGTCTCAGACCTGACGAATTGACTGGCAGATTTAGGTGCAATATATATCACACTCAAGGACTAGTAACAGTCAATTCCGGGGATGTTTCAATGTTCACTTGGGGTCAAGGGGTCTCTTGGATTCGAAATCTCTTTGCTCATTGCGTCTCAAGTGCAGTATTGAGGATGGGCCTAGAAAGTGCATGTTTTAACGAAAGTGTTGGAAACCAGATGACTAGGACTACGTATAGACAGACAAATAGTTATAATGTTTACAATGATTCATTCAGGCTCAGATAGATAATGATACAGAACGGACGTGAGCGCCGTGAAATACCACCATCCGGGGTATCATGCAAATCCATATGTACACGCACAAAAATTCCAAGTCCACCCAGAAATACGCCATTGCGAAAAGGACTGACAGCTCCGATCCAAGATAGAGTCAATGGCTGATTACAGCTCCGAACCAGCAGAAAAGTTCAATGCCTGCTGCTGAAGCTTCTTGTTACGTCGAAGCAAAGCTGCGAACTTCTTATCCAGCGAATCCATTTCTTTCCGGGTAAGCTCGAGGTCCTTCTGAGAACGACCAGAGAGATCCTTCAGCTCCTCGTTGGTCAAGCCGGCAACGTCGTCGAGGGTTGGGTTGGTACTGACCATGCCCGGGTTGCCCAGCATGTGCTGCGCGGTAACAGCAGCGAAGGAGCGAACAGCGGCAGGGGTGGTGTTAAGAAATTCTGCCGAGTTGGCGACGGCCCAATCATGGTTGCGGGTGCTGTCTGCCTCCATGGCCGAGAGGACGTTAGGTGGGATCACAGATTCCGCCGCCTCAAGAGAAGAGGATGGAGACGTGGCACCCAGGCGAGTGGACATGTCGTCAACCCAGCAGATGTTGAACTTTTCTGGGTTCGCGAAAAGTGCTTCCAGACCTCCACTGGGATTGCTTGCGTCGTCTCCAATCATGAAAGGATCGGAGATACTGGCCATGTTCTTCTCCAGCTCAAGGTACCGCTCTTCCTCTTCTGGCTCGAGATGGCGCAGGACACAACCGCGGGGCGTGATCAGGCATCGAGTCTTGAGGAAATCATCGCCAATTCGAACGGGCTCTCCACGAAGCAGGGTTTTCCGATCCTCCTCGGTCAACTCGTTGGGACACTGGAGATAATCGTAGTCCTCCGCAGTGCATTTCATGTCGGTGCGATGGCTGAGGTTGGTAGGGTTGAAGAGAGAAGTTTTGTTGAGGTTAAGTTCGCCGGACTTGTGCATCTCAGCGAGCAACTCGTGAAGAGGCTTAGTTCGTTCCACGAAAAGATCCTTGATTGCCCTTCCGAGGGCCTCGGAGTCCTTGACCAACTGTCCAACTGTATTGTTTGAACGCCATGGCTCTACGGGGATTTCCTTCTGAACAGGTGGCTCTTCGACAGGGGGGAGGAGTAGGCTCCCTGGCAGGCTTGATCTCCTTGGCTTTCACTTTCTTCGTGGTAGTATCCACCTTGGGTTCGGCCTTGACTGGGGAAACGCTCGCTGGTTTCACAGGGCTCGCTTTTTCGGGGGCACTAGCAGCGGGTGCATCGGCTGTGCTCACAGTGGCTGTGGGGGCTTTCTTAGTCTTACGCTTTCGCCCCATGATAGGCGCTTGGACAGGCTCCTCATTCACATGTGCAGTTTCGACCTTCTTAGCCTCGGCCTCCTTCGCCTTCTGCTTCCGCTCCTTCTTGACCTGGCTCTTGGTCATGGAGCGAACGGGGGCGGAGCCGATACGAGTAGAAGCAGGAGGGGAATTGGCACGGGAAGCGGAGGTGGAAGGATAGTAATCAGCTTCCCATCCCATATCAGCAGGAGTGTCAGGGACGCTGGTTGACGAGATACTCTGTCTCCTAGAGCGGGACCTGGTACCTCCAGCGACAGAAGCGGGCACAGAGGGTACGGTGATAATGGGAGGAGTTTCTGGCTTTGGGGTTTCTACCACACGCAGAACACGAGGCTGGCGAGTAGCAGGGGAGTCAGAAAGGCGGGATGCCATGGTTTGGGGTGTGTCAGGTCGAGACCCGATTACAGAGACAGAGCCAGGAGGTGGAACCTGCTCAGTCTTGACGGATAGGGGTAGCGGGGAGCCAAAATCGAGTGGGCTGCCTTTGGTAGTGGCAGAACTCGGCTGCGACTGGTGTGTAGCCTTGGCAGGTGAATCTTTGAAATCAGCTCCAATGTTGAACTCACTCTTGCGTTGGGTACGAGGCTTGCTCGCGGACTTTTGCACGGGCGACCCAAAGGAGATTTGAGAAGCGTCCTTCACGCGGCTTGATGTCAAAGGTCCACCCACGGTGAGCTCAGGACTTAGAAGGCGAGAGGGGCTGTCAACACGGCTCTGCGATGGGCTGTTCAGCCGCGAAATGCTGGGCGTCAATCCAGGTGGGAGAATCGGGACAGGAGACGAAGGTTTAGAGGAGCTGTGTTCCTGGAATACAGAAGACGAGGGATGAGCATGGGGTAAAGGCAGTCCAGGTGGCAGACTCGGAGTTCCAGCACGAGCGGCTGACTCGCCAGGTAACTGAGACTTCAAAAACCCAAAGCTATCAACAGGTCGTCGATCCTTGGACTGATCTCCAAGAGGAGGAAAGTCCTCATTTACTAGAGCATTGAGTCAGCGAATCTTCAAGGAGCAAAATGTGGCGATGTGGGTGGTCAGATGAGGGTGAGGTAAAGATCAGATCGAAATCGCTTCAGACGATGGTGAGGACTATGCAGCAGCAGCACGACTAAGCGAAGATACAAAAAAGACCACGAGATAATTACATGATGGGCATCCCCCGGACCAGCAACAGTGAAGGACAGGGCGTCTATGTAAACGGCGGCTGTGAGGAAACTGATTTCGAATAAGACCCTTTTCGGCTTGTGGTATCAGGGTAGGGAGATCTTAACGTACATTAATCCATAATAAACATCTGTGGTCTTCAAGACACAGCAGATCATATAATGGAAGTCCGGATGCCAAAAAAAAAAAAAAAAGTAGAAAGGGAATACACAGCCGCCGAATACAAAGGGACACCGGAACACACGCCCGTATGTCCATGGAATGCGACGACACCTGGAACGAGCCAGAGAAAACATGCAAGAAATAGATAGCAATTGAAGCAGACAGGGAAAGACCCTAGTACGCCAGGTGAACGTCCAGCCATTGCATAAATCAGACCTGCCAGTCTGACCGCGAATAAAACAGAAATGAACAAATGCAAGGCCTCCATGTCGAGGGGGAAAAAGAAAGGGAATTGATATCATGTCATCAAGATAAATCAGGCCCATCAAGGGAAGGTCATAGCGAAGAAGCGAGGAAAATGCAGGAAATCAAATCACGGGAACAAGAGGTTAAAGGGAAAAGCATAGGGATTCACCACCGACTGATGCCACCACCATACACCATCGAGGGGTTGTACCCACCTTGACCCTGACTCCCGTACAACGCCTGCCCAGCAGTAGCATTCGCACCGACTTGATGCATTCTCGCCTGCAAAATGCTCGGGTCCGCAAGATCTACTACACCACCTCCACCGGAGGAAGTGTTAGCGTGTCTGTGCTTCTTCCCCTTCTTCTTCTGCTTCTGTGGGCCACCGGAATCAGGCATTACGCCCGCTTGGGGCCCATAGAAGGAGCTGAGAAGGCCATTGACAGGAGTCATGGGGGGCGGGGTATTGTGCTGTTGAAGAAAAGGGAACATGAACTCACGCTTAGCTGCCTCTTGGCCCTGTAAACCACCAACATTCGTACCAGTTCGCCCACGTAGTAGTTCGCGCATTAGCTCGGGAGTCGGATCTTGCTTTCCTCCATTACCACCAACCCCAGAGGTGAAACCATGTCCTTGCGCGAACATTCCACCACCACTAATCGGAGGGGTACCGGCCGTCTTCAATCCCGGCGGGGGACCCTGCACACCACTGGCATAGAAACCGCTTGCTGCAAGACCGTGTTGAGGGCTTGGGGCAGAAAGAGGGTTGGGAGATGAAGATTGCATTTGACCCAACATGCGAGCATTAGGCATATTCTTAGAACCGACATCATTTGCAAAGGAGAATCGGGAAGACTGTCGGTTCTGTGCTGCCTGCAGCGCATTGAACTGTGCGATCTGATTCTGGGCGAGGCCTTGGCGGACTTGGGCGGCTTGGTCCAGACCGGCGGAGCTGAGAGGGTCAGCCAGACCAGCTTGTTGATTACCGGCGGACTTGAGTAGCATCAACTGCTGTTGCTGCAAGGGAGTTAAGCTTCGTCCAGCGAGGTTCAAGCCTTGGAATTGATGGCTAGTCGCAGAGACAGGGGATCCAACAGTTGAGTTGTCTGCAGTGTCCTGCTGTGAAGGCGGCTGGATAGCACCGTGAGACTCCCGGGTCTGGCGATTGCGCGGGGGATTTACTTCCTCTGGCTCACCACCTAGCTGGAGGCTACCGGCTTCACGGCTATCTTCCTCGGCTGCAACAGATTGGAGCAACTCGTGCTCGCGGCTCAGACGCTCATGTTCGACTTTCTCGCGCATTGCTCTGCGCTTGACGCCACCATATGGGTCGATGAAAGATGGGTAATCGTTGATTAACTTGACCTCTTCCGCACTCAATTCGGCCGTGCTGAAAGAGAACTTGAAATCCGGAGAGTTGATATCCTTAAGCAAACTGTCAAATGGCGATGGCAGCTTCGGAGGTTGAGGCGCACGGCGAGGACGCGGTTGCGGGGCGGGAGATTGAGGATCAACCTGGGAGATCGATTGTGGGGCTTCTTGGGAAATCGGAGACGGCTTCTCTGCTCGCTTCGGTTCTTCAACTGGGGTCGCCACATTGACACTGGCGGGTCGTGGGCTATTAATGGAGGCTTGGCTGCCAGTGAGACTAGTCCTCCTGGTTCGGTGGATAGCAACATCTTTGTTAGCCCAACTGGCGGTTGATGGCAGAGCCGGGCCATCTGGTATCCCGGTGCGACTACTGATTGAGTCATCCTTGCTCGGTTGCCGGCGCATAGGATGGGCGATGGGTTGAGCGGACCTCACGTGAGAGGGGGTAGGTGGGAGATTTGGGCGTTGGGTGGAAATCGTGTTCATAGATGAGAGGTCCTGGCGGCTGTAACTGTCGCTATCCTCCCCAGTCTCGTGCAAGAAAGTGCAGTTCCGATTATTGCACTGCTCATTGCGAAGGAAGGAGGAGCAATATTTAGTTGTTCCGTATTGCGCCCTAAGCACCCGATCGCCATTTCCAGAACCGTCCACGGCGTTGATGCACATCGCAGCATCAACTTTGCGTGAGAAAGTCACGTAAACACCAATTCCCTGGTTAGGGTTGCCGCCGGGCTTAGCCTTGCTGACCACGATCTTTTCAATCTCGCCATATTGACCGAAATATTCCCGTCCACGAAGCGTTTGAAGGAGTTGATTTTCGTCTCGGATCGTAGGGTTGAGGCCGATGACGTAGACCAAGTTCTTTTGGACAACACGGACACCGGCCAAGTTCTTCCGACTGGAAGCCTCGATTTCACGCTTTTCGGCCTCCTTCTTTTTCGCAGCAGCCGCCTTGCGGTGCTTCAGCGCCAAATCTGCCTTGAACCTAAACACAGTAGGTTAGTTGGGATGTGGCGAACATATCACAGAGGATGGGTCGACTCACTCCTCAACGTCAGGAATCTTGTACTGGATAGTACTTTCATCGTATCCGCGTCGACAGTTGGGGCATCGTCCTTCCTCATTCTGCGTTTTAATGTTATTGTAGCAGAATTGGCAAATCTATAAAACGAAGGTCACATGTTAGGTCTGGAACAGGAGACAAAAGACAAGCGATCTCTCCCCATCACAACGAAGCGAGCAGTGGCAGAGTCGCGTCAAGGATTATGATCAGAGCTTACCTGATATCCACAAGGACACGGTTTAAAATTCTTATCGGAGAGATCGAACTCTTCAATGCACAGGGGGCTGTGGGGTGATTAGTACACAGATCGCGCGGGTTAAATGAGCATCAAGGCGTACCAGAACTCGTCATCGTCGTCGATGACGGAATCGATCAATGAAAGACTGGACATGGTTGCGGGGAATACGGTGACAACCGGAGAGGGACACAAGATCTCAAACGCCGACACCTGATTAAATCGGACAAGAAACTGTGAAAATAAAAGAAGTGCGCTGCCCTGTAAAGTGTAGAAAGACGAACGGCGATTAGATATTTGAGGAGGAGCGAGAATAAGAGAGAGCAAAAGACAGGGTGGAGATGATTGATAGAAGAGGGTGAACGGGGAGAAGAAGGAAGGAAATTGTGAAGCGCGGCTTCATTTTGCTGGCATTGCCCGATTGAGTTTAGCGTATGCCCAACACGTGACCAAAAGTGCTCGACCACTCTAAACCTTCACAATCCGACTTACGTGCCTTCGTCCCCTCCTCCCGTTGCATCTGCCATTGCTCCCTCTACACAATGGCCTCCGCACGCTCTTTGATGCGCCTGGGTTCTGGACGCTCTGTGGCATTCGCCACGAGGTCCATGGCCACCCGCACCTTTTCCTCCGCCTCCCTTCAGTGTGCCCCCAAGGCCTCGACAGCACCGGGCCCGGAACCTGAGAACATGCGCCAGGCGCAGCGCCCGCGTATGTGCAATGGACCAGCCGAAAGATAGGATACAATTGAGCTAACCGAACCGTGTTTTGCCAGCCTCGGGACCCCTACGTGCCCCCGTGGTCAACCCTACCGACAAGTACCAGCCCATGGCCGACAGCCTCCACGCCTATGGGCAGTACGTTATGTCTTGCCTGCCCAAATATATCCAGCAGTTCACAGTCTGGAAGGATGAGCTCACTGTTTACACCGCTCCCGCCGGTGTTGTTCCCGTCATGAGCTTCCTCAAGAACCACACTGCCGCCGAGTTCACCCAGATCTCCGATATCACAGGTGTCGACTTCCCCACCCGCGACCAGCGCTTTGAAGTCGTCTACAACCTGCTCAGCGTTCGCCACAACTCCCGTATCCGTGTCAAGACCTACGCGGATGAGGCCACCCCCGTGCCCAGTGTGACTGGTCTCTTCGAGGGTGCTCTGTGGTACGAGCGTGAGGTGTACGACATGTTCGGTGTGTTCTTCTCCGGACACCCTGATCTGCGCCGCATCATGACCGATTACGGTTTCGACGGCCACCCACTGCGCAAGGACTTCCCCTTGACCGGTTATACTGAGCTGCGCTACGACGAGGAGAAGAAGCGCATCGTTATTGAGCCCCTTGAGCTCACCCAGGCATTCCGCAACTTTGAGAGTGGCTCTACTGCCTGGGAGCCCGTGGGTGCGGGTCAGGACCGCACTCCCGAATCCGTAAGTCATATTTTCTTCCTTACTAAAAGACAATATCCTGACCTGTTCGACTATAGTTCAAGCTTCCGACCCCCAAGCCGGAGGAGAAGGAGGAAGAAAAGAAATAGAGAGGGTCTGTATGCGTATCATTTCCTTTGCCATGTTTGTATGTACATATCCGTCAGTGTTAATCGATGGTCTCTTTTTGCCCAAGCAATATATCCAGCAATGTAATGCACGTAGCAGTTAATTTGCGCGAGTCCAATCATAAAGCTAACCTACTATGACTCGTAGTAAACGTCTATTTTTTTCATAATCGGAATTCTACCTAGAAACATGTAGTCTGAAGTAGATATCAAACCGATTGATTCGCGATGGCCATTGCAAGCGTCTGTCTTGGCACCGGGATCCGCCCAAAAAAAAAAATTAAGCTACACCAACATCGGACGATCAACACGACCCTCGAAACTTTCCACGGTTTTTCTTTTGTCGACAAGCCATACATTCTTCGACTCCCCCATATCAATATCTGCCATCTCCATACAATCACACCACCGAAAAGATGCCCAAGCGCAAGCTCGAAGAAGTCAGCGGCCCCGCGCCCACGCGGTCCAGCGACACCCGCAAAATGTCCATTCACGGCACCCGGTTGACGCAAATGTTCGAGAACGGCGTATTGATGATCATGCGTGGTCTCAAGACATCGCGCGGCTTTGAGCGACAAAAGCTCAGTCGGCGAGAGAAGACAGCGAAGCAGCAAAAGGACGATAAGGCATTGGCGCGACTAAAGGAAGAAATCGAGACTTTGAAGGTATGCAGTTAATATTTACTATAGACAGCCAGCCGTACGGCTTTGGAGGGTATCCGCGCCCAGAAACTCGATTGCTAATATTCGGTCTAACAGGGTCTCGATTACCATGTCACATCCGAGCGATACCTCTTCAAACAACTTATCAGAACGAAGCGAATCGCAGAAACACGGACATTCGGAGAGTTTCAGGCCGTCAAGAACGTCTCTCAGGAGGGACCGAAGAGTACAGCGGAAGCCAATATCCTAGCACGACTATTCAAATCCACTCCAGTGCAGAAGGAAATGCCCGGGATTATGGCGGGCATTCGGAAACTACTTCGAATCGACGAGGCGCCGACTAGCAAAGCGGCAAAAGAGGCCAAGAAGAAGGATGCGCCAGCAAAGAAGGAACGGAAGGAAACCAGCGGATCGGAATCTGAATCAGAGACAGCGACGACAAAACCCCGGCGCGGCGAGCAGGTCTCCCGCCCCGCGGACGACATGGACATCTCCGGCTCAGAGGAATCCGGAGACGAAGACCTCTCGCAATTCAACTCGCGACTTGGACCGGGGTCAGATTCTGAAGCTGACTCGGAATCTGGCGACGAGGAAGACCTTGCCGCAGACGATATCTCTGATTCTATCTCCCGCTCCCCATCACCATCCTTCTCTGCGGACTCCCCGCCACCTAAGAAAGCAAAGGGAACCAAGGGTTCTACTGAAGCTTTGAAAACCACGACGTTCCTGCCGTCTCTAATGAACGGTGGTTACTGGTCTGGCTCGGAAGAAGCTTCTGATGAGGAAGATTCCGACAAGAAGCCTGTTCGTAAGAACCGAATGGGTCAACAGGCGCGTCGGGCTTTGTGGGAGAAGAAGTTTGGAGCTACTGCAAACCATGTCAAGCAGGAGCAGCTGGCTGCGAAGTATGGTGGTAGAGATAATGGTTGGGATACGAAGCGCGGTGCAACTGACGGTTCGCGAGGTGGAAGAGGAGGGAGAGGAGGCAGACGTGGTGGTTTTGGCAGTGGGCCTGCGCGGCCTCAGAGAGATGGTCCTGCTGGGCCTCACTCTGGGCAGCATTCTGGTGGCAAACCTAAAGGTGGTCCGCCTAAGGATGAGGGTCCATTGCATCCCTCTTGGGAGGCGAAGCGGAAGGCCAAGGAGCAGACGGCAGCTTCTTTCTCTGGAAAGAAGGTTACATTCGATTAGGGTTATGGGCATTATGTATATCTATCTATCAATGTTTGAGGTTCGTTACAAGCAAACGAGCAGATATTACGATCTCCCTATGTGATACACGTTTAAAGTCACCCGACTCAGACAAAAAAAAAAAAGATTGCTTGCAATATATATAAATTGGTGCATTGGGGATAAGCAGTGTACAATTTCCGAGAGTTCCACCACCCAGGCGCAATATATAGCAGTGAAACATAAACAGTCGCAAGATGGTATACCAAGAAAACGAAAATAAAAGCCAAAGACCCAACCCAACCATTGCATAAATAAGTCGCTGCTTAAGAAACAAAGCAAGATAGAAAAATATTGATCATGGATCCCTCATGAAGTTCAGCCAGTGAGGGGGTCAGATCTGCCACTAGGGGCCTTCATTTCAGCACCAGGCAACCCATTAGATTGACCCTGTGAATCTGGCTCGAAGCAAGGAATAGCAGTGAACTCGCCCAATTCTTGTGGGAAATTGGAAACAAAATGATCAAAGCCAAAGTGTGGCATCTGTGAAAGGGATTGCTGAGAAATGGAGAAAGTATCGGGAAGTGGGACTTCTTCGCCTTCTGGAATGGTTTGGTTAGGCCCAGCAGGTGTTGTAACAGCACCGCCCACGCCAATCATGGCTGCAGAAGGAGGTGTCAGGGCCATGCCATGAAGAAGAGTAGAAGGACCCGCCATGGTAGGCGCTTGAGAAGGTACGCTTTGCGGGACATTTTGTTCACTTGATGCATAAGTTTCCTGCTGTTGCCACGCGAGCGTGGACGGCGAGATAGGTCCTGCTTTCCAAAGCATTTCCCAGTTTTTGAACCGGTCATAGGCGGATTCGACGGCACCTCCGCTACTCATATCCGGTTGGGTCTCGCTCCATGCTTCGAGACGGCGAATGGCACGCTCGAGCGCTTCTATGACACTAACAGCTGAACGGGCTGAGCCAACACCCATAGACATAATCTTGATTAGGGAAATTCCCTGTTCAAGGGCAGCACCGAGTCTTTCGGTTCGTTTGGTCAGGCCCTGGGCCAAAATGACAAGCAAAGCTGCACGGCATGAACTAAATTCGGTAAACGAGGCTCGCGCGAGACCGGTCTCGTCACGGAGCAAGCGGCACAAATCGATGATTTCCAAAGCTGCTTCCACGCAATCTGTAACAAGAGTCGCACGGTTCTTTGACAGACCAGATAGAGCGGCGGAGCCCTTGTACGGCGGGCCTTGAGAGGGTGTCTGGTAGATGCCTTTGATATTACTGAAAAGGAAAGGTCGTCCAATGAAGACTCGAGTCAGACAGTAGTCTAGCTTGAGATGGACATTAGACCTGAAAAGTGGCCCTGCGGGATTCAGGTCGCGACAGGTAATCTCTTCCGGTAGAGTCGACCACCAATCAACGAGATGTTTCCGGAAATTCAGCAATCGTTCTAGACAGTCCTGTTGTTGTTCTTTGCGGTATTTTCGCAATGAGGTAATTTCATTTGACACCTCGCCAAGCTTTAAAGTCAATGTTATGAGTGTTACCATATTTGTATGGTTTGAGGGTTGATGGATGGGCATCAATCCGGGGAAATCGACCGGCAAGGGAACATCAACGTCGCGGTCTGATAACGATGACGGTCTGCCGTGTAGAATGCTTACACGTTTTTCGATAGTAAATGCTGTCCAGAAAACCCGATTTCGGACTTCAATCATGCGCGGAGACAGGCCTTCGCCGTGGTACCTCCGATGCATTCCATTTTGAATAGCCAGTTTCAGTGCTAGGCCAAAGTATGTGTAGCATAACCCCGAAGTATCCAACGGAAGCAAGTATGTCCCAATAAGTAGACAAGCTTGCACACTTCGAACCGAAGCAGTGGCGATAATGTCTGGTAAAAGCCTCGAGGCAAATTGGTAGAATGTGAGTCCCACCTCATCCTCCGAAAAGTGATGATCCTGATTTGCTGTAGAACCCGAGGGCAAACAATTCACGGGTGTGGATGACTCCATATGTGCGAATTGAGTGCCCACCGCCAGAACCATAAGAATACAGCACACCGCGCCTGCATCGTCAAATGATAAACTTTCAGGGTCAGTGTAGCAGACGCCCAATTTCTCAATTAACCAGTCTTCCCCGATGTAGAAATTATTGGTTTGTGCGTATTTGAAGAAGATCTGGACAAGAAAATCGGCGACATAACGTGGCGGCAGACATGTAATTGAAGAGGACACCTGAGGTGACGCGGACTGAAGTTGTGTACTTCGCCACCGTTCTTCGAAAGGCTCAACTTCAGAAGTTGCCTGCGGGGTTGGGTTTAGCATGAGTGGCTTCGCTCACCGACAATTCACGGGAACCTACCTCGGGTGCTGCAGTCTTCATCCACTCGTCGATTTTCTTCCGGATCTTCATTGTGAAATTCAAGTATGAAAATTCCCCGGAATATTCTGAGAAATACTGTCAATCAAGAAAACCCCGTATACGGACTCGGGGGATCAACATACCGGTTGTGTTATCGGCCATAGCCTTGATTGTAAAATCCTCTTCATCAATGGCAAGATCCTCCAGCTCATTGGGGTCTTCCCGGGTGGAAATCGCATCGGACTCAGAATCGCGGTGTTTGGTCTTCAGATCCTCTGCGGCCTGGCGCAGAGACTGAATATCGAAAGTGATATTGGGTATATAATGCGACAGGAGACGTTCCATCAGGCGCACCCGTTCTGCCTCGGCGATGTCATTTCGGCTCTGGGCGGCTGCTCGGTCCAAAAGTCTGGTATCAGGGGTTGCGCCATTAGCGGTCTAGATGATAATAGGATCTGGTTACTCGGTAGACATACGAGACAGACGTTGACCGGGTCTTTTCATTGGGGTCGATGTGAGTAAAATTGCATTGGCGGCGGTATCGCATGCATCTTCGACAGGGCACACCTCCTTCGCATTTCTCCTTCACTCGGCGACAACCATCGCACCTGCGCAAAACCAATTGTGTTAGAGGATCCGATTTAATTGATATACTAGGGGGATAGCATACGCTCGAACAGCCCGCTTGCGGTTTTCTTCGGCCACGCGAGGACGTTTTTGCTGGGAGGGCGTCGGAGTCGAGTCGTCCATTACCGTAACAGTGGATCAGGGCATTGTCCAGAGACCAGAGAAAAGGAAATAGATAGAGAGATTGGAAAATAAAAAGGGGGATGTCAGACCGGAATGTCCCAGGTTGGAAAATGGCCATGTGAGGAGAAAAAGAGAAGGCTAATCGATAAAGGCAGATATCCCCGCATCCCGGACTCATTTTGCTCCGCGCATCGGCACTGGGGGACCTTTGGGAGTACGGGCGACTAAGTGTGCCACCGATACATAACTCTCTCATTGGTTTATATTGCTGGCAGTATTTTAGATCCACTCCCACTTCACAACACTAATTTTGTAGTTATTAGTAATATTGCGGCCTGCTGATACTTGAAGATGCCTAAATGCCTGGATTATAAGGTTAATAATATTTGTGCCTTACAAAATTGGCACTAAATGTTGACGTTATTCGCGCTATACAAATCCTATTATTGCTCGGCGTTGAAGCCTTTCTCCTCTCTACTACTCTAGTACGCTTACTCTAACCGCCGCTTGAAGCTTCCCCCGAGGTAAACTATACGTCCTTATATTCTTATCGGAAAGGCCGACTTCGTTTATATGGAGTATTATTTATAGTGGTGGGTAGTGGTTTTAGATGCTTTAATCCCTATATTTCGAGGCGTCTCCTTATTATTATAGGAGTAACAGTGAGACAAAGTATCTCGCGTATAGATTTGTATATAGAACTAGAAGATACGCCGGCTTCAAACGAGAGATAATCTCATCTTTGTGGGGTTTAAGATCGATGGTTGGTCGTACCTGGTTCTTGCTAAGCAACCCACACCCGTAGGGGTGTTACTTGGCAAGAACCGGGTACCATTGTAACGTATACGAATAAAAGAGAAGTTGAAATAAATATTCAAAAAGAAATTAGGGTATATGCTTAAGAAGGCGGTGATGAAAAGGCGGTGGGGTATCAACCAATGAGAGAGTTATGTATCGGTGGCACACTTAGTCGCCCGTAGGGAGCTTTGGTACCTTTTTGCAACGTACTTTTTTTTTCATATTTATGTTTATATATATATATATAATATATATACGTATTTACACGCAATTACAACTCGAGACAGCCATTCACATGGAACTTGACCCTTACTACTACTACTGCGCCCGACGAGTCGAAAATCTCATTGTCTTTCTTCTCAGCAATACCTCCATGTCCGGGGCAGTGAAGAGCCTGAAGAAAATGAGCGCTGGTTTGAGAGTCCAAAATGATCCCATGGAGGGTTAGCAATTGTAATATGACTTGGAATGACTCCAGTGTTAAGATCAACAAAAGCGATTCCAGTAGCTCGACGACTTGTTATTGTAGCATGTAAGCCTAAATGCTGTAGTAGGCTAGTGATTTCCAATTATGATTCTGATCAATGATAGCTAGTGTTCCTCGTTGTTCCTCGTTCTAAAATTCAGATATACGGAAAATATTTAGAATCCATCAACATGAGACCCAAGCTCCATCTCAACTCCAACATCAAGCACCTTCTTCCCAACAACAAGATCCATAAGTCCCATACCAACACATTTATAGACAACATTACAACCAGCAGGAACATCAACCACCCCCTCCACAATCCCCTCGGCTCCCAAAAGATCTCCCATTTCAATCAATTGCTCCTCCCCAAGACCAGCAGTAATCAACTCCCCAGCCTCCTCAAGACAAGCCGTCTTCGAATCAACATAAACCTTCCCACCACCCGAAAGCAACGTCTCAGTATCAATTTCATGCATATCCGGCTTATACGATCCAATAAGCGAGATAAACCTCTGCTTAGGATTGTTCTGCAACGCGGCATATCCGAAATTCGGCACCGTAGCAGGCGTACAACTAAAGATAACATCGGCAGCGGCAAGTTCCTCCCCAAGCCTCTGCTCATAATCATCAACACCTTCCTTAGCAAGCGTGTCAAAAACAAGACCGGGATACGTGCCCCGCAATTCAGAAACAACATCTCTCTCCATCTCGGCGAGTCTCTTCGCACCGCGATTCACAAACGTCACCCGTCGCACCTGTTCGGGATATAGTAGTATCGCAAGACGTGCATGCCACTCTGCCTGTCGCCCGCTGCCGAGAACAAGCACGTTGTCCTTTCGGAGGGTCGTGCAGCGCACGAAGAGGGCCATTGTTGCCAGTGCGGTGCGGAAGGCTGTTACTTCTGCTGCGGCTAGCAGGCCTTGTAGTCGGCCTTCCGGGTTGAAGATGTTGATTACACCTTGGATTCCGGATGGACTTGCTGTTACCACTTTCATGCCGGTGGAGGCAGTGTCCGATACCGGCATGAAGATGCAGGTGTTGTCATTGCTTGTGGTGAAGACTGTACGAAGGGGTTGGTGGATCTTTTTGCTGGATGCTGGGGTTGAGGGCTTTGATTCTTTGGTTATGCTGATCAAGGCATTGCCGAGTGTTGTGATGAAGTCGTGACATTGGTCTTGTGTTAGACTGCGGAAGATTTTGGAGACATTTGGTTCGGAGAGGATGTGCATTTTGAGTGTTTTATTGTGGTTTCTGAGATACTTGAAGAAGTCTTGTCTAGTTTTCTTTGGTTCAAGAAGTAAATGAGATGCTTCTTGGGGTGATGAGTAGAATATATGAGGCAGACCATCGGATGGTCCCTCCGACACATACAAGGGAGGGGCAGTCCGGTGGGGACTAAATTCCAAAATGATTCGACCTCAATCATGTCGGACATTATCAGATTATCTCTCTGGTCCGATTTCATGATTTGATTGCTACACTGACTAAAATTATATTATAAGAAAAAAAAGCACTTCATTTTCAAAATTGATTTCATTGATCATCAGAAAGGACTTCTTAAGGTTCCCATAAAGCAGTAGCAACGCCATGAAAAATGCACCCAGCTAGACGCAAACAAAAATGCAGCACAAACAGCCCGTGGGCTGCTAAGGAAAGATAGAACGATCTATGTAGCCTCCGAAAAGGAAAATCAGGACTAGAATCTCACTTGCTGCTGCTGAAAGCGTTGCCAATGCGACGCTTCAACTCAGCGATCATAGCGATCTGAGAGTCCTTAGTACGGCCAACAGCCTCAGTGTTCTCGACGGCGCGACGAAGCAAGAAGCCCATGCATTCCTGAACCGAGCCCCAGGTCAACAGCTTGAAGACGTTCGGAGCATCAATGGGGGTAGCGCCAACACTGTCCTCGGCAGTCTCGAATCCTTGAAGCAATTCACAGCTAACCTCGTCAGCCATACCCTGAAGCTGAGCATAGCTAAGATCAACACCGTAGTCCTCGCCGCGGGTAGCCTGTTGCATGCGCAGGGCATGAGCCTTGCGAACAGACTCACGGTTGTGGGTAGCAATGATGACATTCACGGGCGGGAGTTCGGCCGGGGTGTCCTTTGAGGGAGCCTTGAGCATAGAGTTGTACTTGCGGGTGAGAAGGGACTCGACGACTTGGTCATAACACTCGTCAGTCTCCTCCTTCTCAGCCCAGACGACGTGGCGGGGCTCAGTCTTCATGTAAGCGCCGCGGACGAGCTTGACACCAAGAGTGTATCCCTCAGCACGAGCAGTCTCGAGGTGGCGGGCAAGAGTGGCAGGGGTAGAGCGCAGGTAGGCTTGGTAAGTTCCGTAGAAGATGGCACGACCGGGGGTCTGCGAATTGCAGTATTTCTGGTACTTCATGATCCAGGCCTCAATACCAGGCTGGACGGCCTGCTCTTCGGCATCGACCAACAGGCGGACACCACGGGAGATGGCGAGATCGCAGACCTTCAGGATAGAGTTGTCCATGGTCTCAGTGGGCATAGTTTGCGACTGCAAGAGGCGAAGGGCGTCGGTGCCCATTCCAGTGAATTTCAAAGCAACAAAGTCGCCAGGTTGGGCCATGTCGACCGTCTGGAGTGTGCCTTCCATCCAAATCTTAATCTCAGCCAGCGCGGCCTTGGCATCGTACGCGGCATCCGAGTTCTCATCCACGAGGACCTCACGGGCATATCCCAGGAGTACACCACGGCATCCGAGAGCTTTGATTTGGTTGATCGAGTTCTGAACTTCGAGCTTGTTCTCGCCAGCGTTGAATTGCTTGTAGATGGTGTGCTTAACAAGCATGTTCAGCATTGGGTTTTTGGAGACATCCCAGAATGCATTGCGGGGATGAGCCAGCAAAGATAGGGTATAGATGCATGGCTTGAGAAGTAGAGATGACGAGGAAACAGACAGAACCAGCAAGGAGCGCAGAACAGATGACAACGGCAGCTTAGCCAGGGGTGCTGCCAGTGCCTTGCGTGGTAGCGGAGGCGGGGCTTTTGTTTGTGGTTGCCATACGTTGGAGGCTGAAACCGAGGCGACTGAAGATCGGGAGTTGCTGGTGTTGCTCACCAATCTGGTGGGCTGGGCGGCGGCCTTGAGAGGCACACGCACGGAAGGTGCAGCCTTCATGGCTGACAGTTAGGATGTAGTTTTCGAGATGATTAAGAATAGAGAAGAGGGAGTAGCTCTGTAGTAAGTCAAGGGTAGAAGACTTAAGAGTAAATGGTCGAAGAAAGAGAAGAGCCACGGTTGAAGGCGACCTTTTAGATATGGCGATTATGTTGGTGGAACTCATTGGGTAAGAGGTAAAGAGCCGGTGGCAACCGCCAGGCACCGGTACGGTCAGCAGGCCCATCCTAACGGGCCGGGAGGTCCTGTCAGTTTTTTATGTACAACAATCTATGGATTGACATTGCTATTATTAATGTTTTCTACGAATCATACCAACAGTTAGAATATAAAAACCGTAGCGCCAGGAACTATTACGGTACGATCGGGTAGGGAGATCATTTATGTCCAAGCGAGATTTAATGACGCTTTGATATTCGCCTCTTTTACCCTTGCAATCTGCAGCCAACAGTAGGTTCGCAGATTTAACCCTGCTGAACGATCACGGGCCGGTTTGATATTGGACCGGGGCCACTGATAAGCGATAAGCCCAATCTGACCGGGCCGGTCTTTCTGCACACGTGACTCGATGACTCGCTTCCGGTTACTTTCAGTTTAGTGCTTCCCAAGAAAGTTTCAGTATGCCAAGTGGATGCATTCAACGTTCTAAGCTTTATGTCGGATTTTATTAGAGCCACATCTGGGTAGGTCCGCCTATTGTACCCCGGATTCTTCCTCCATCCACAAAACACGTGATTCTCGCGGCGCACGGAAGGCAAATGTTTAAAGTCAATTTGGGCCCACGCACCAATCGCAGACCACCCGGTGATTCGGTACTATAAAGAAGGTTTAAGCTAACCAATAGAATAGCGCTAGAAGCTTTGAGGAATATTTATCGAGAGGCAACTTGTCAACGGTAAGATAAGAACAACCTGACAGGAGAACCTGCAAAGATAATTATACACAAAATCAAACACGATAAGGCAGGAGCCAGCGAGACCAGGCTAGAACTAAACGGTAATGTGGGCGCCAATCATCTCCAGAAATTCAATCATTGCTCCCGCGAGCTCTTTGGCACATTAGGCATACGATTTCACATTGTTTCATGAAATCCACGGGCTGTTAATCAGTGATTGGTGGAGGAGATTCGTTTCCCCCTTAGGTTTTTGTTATCTTTCTAGAGAATATTTTCTCCCATTGGAGCACTATCAAGGTGTATATTTTATCTCATCGGCAGGGGGATCCCGAAAAGATAACAGTTTGAAGCCTACGAAGTATCATACGTTACCATAATTGCCCCTTGCGTCGCCGTTGCTCCTCTCTCTCCCGAGTTGTGTCCTAGATTGGTAAACATCTGTTGTGATGGTTGTCACCTGACCCTATGTGACAGGACTGTAGCCTCTTCTCCCTCTTCTTCTTTTCCCCTTCTTCTTTCTAGAAGCAGTAAGCAGTTAGCACGACGAATACAGTTGCATTGCTCTCTCTCTCTCTCTTCTCCTGGCCTCCCATCGACATCCCTACTTCACTGCATTCGCGCATCATGCAAGACGACCCATCTAAGACTCAGAGTCTCGAGGTCGGGGTTCGTCCCCAGTCCCCGTATGATGACCCAAAAGCCATACAGGGAGAGATTACAGCTCCAAACTCAGGCACTAAGCGTGGTTTGAGCTCGCGTCATGTTCAATTCTTGGCTCTGGGTGGTTGTATCGGTACTGGTCTTTTTGTTGGCAGTGGTGCATCGCTGTCGACGGTTGGTCCTGGTAAGAATCCTGCAGAGAAATTCAATTTGATATGGGTCTAATATGTGATAGCTCCTTTGCTCATGGGTTATATTGTCATGTCAAGTATTGTGTACTTTGTCATGAACATGCTTGGTGAAATGACAACCTATCTCCCTATCCAGGGTGTTTCTGCACCTTATTTGATCACTCGGTTTACGGAGCCTAGTCTTGGATTTGCTATTGGTATGTCCAAACCATTCTTCAAGATTCAGTAACTCGAATGCTAATCCAAATGCCTACCAGGATACAACTACTGGCAATTATCCCTTCTGTCAATGTCTGCGTTCGTCAAACTAATAAATGTCAATATGTAGGTATTCATTTTCAATGTTGCTAGCATCAGAAGTCACTGCATGTGGCCTTATCATTGAGTATTGGGATTCACCAGTCAGCGTGGGTGTATGGATTGCAATCATTCTAGTTCGTGAGTACACAGTATGCCAACAGTCCAGTGTTATGATATCCTCTAACGAAATCCCTCTAGTCGTCCTCCTTCTAAACGTCATCGCGGTCTCTTGGTACGGTGAAGCTGAATTCTGGTTTGCATCACTCAAGATCATTGCGATCCTCGGTCTCATCATATTGGGCGTCGTACTGTTCTTCGGCGGAGGTCCTAACCATGACCGTCTCGGCTTCCGATATTGGAAAACGCCCGGCGCATTCGTGGAACCCTACTTGGTTCCGAACATCAACACAGGCCGCTTCCTGGCATTCTGGACCGCTATGATAAAGAGCGGATTCTCCTTCATTTTCTCTCCAGAGCTGATCACTGCTGCTGCCGGGGAGGCTGAGTCGCCGCGTCGCAACATCCCCAAGGCGTCAAAGCGGTTTATCTACCGTCTGTTCACATTCTATGTCCTGAGTAGCTTGGTCATTGGTGTGACGGTCGCATACAACGACAAGAACCTCTTGCAAGGTGTTGCGAGCGGTGGTTCTGGTGCTGGTGCCAGTCCATTCGTTGTTGGTATTCAAAATGCTGGTATTACTGGATTGAACCACGTTATCAATGCTGCCATTCTTACCTCTGCCTGCTCCTCGGGTAATTCTTGGCTCTTTGCTGGATCTCGCACACTTTACTCGCTCGCCGGTGAGGGACAGGCTCCCGCATGTTTCCTTCGCTGCAGCAAAAATGGTGTTCCATACAATGCCGTACTGGCCACTTGGGCAATTGGTCTACTGTCCTTCTTGAACCTGTCTACCTCCGGTTCAACTGTGTTTTATTGGTTTACTAATATCACTACAATTGGAGGTTTTCTCGCTTGGGTCATCGTGGCAGTGGCATACTTGGTACATTAATTCTTTCTTTTTTTTTTCCTTTCTGTTCCTTTTATTGGTAACCTTACTAACGACACGTCCTTTAGCGTTTCCGCAGCGCTTTGGATTTCCACGGGCTGCTCAGCTCTCGGCCCTTCATTACTCCTTTCCAGCCGTATGGCGCTTACTTCGTTATGGTCTTTGTATCACTACTGGCTATTACCAACGGCTACACGGTATTCTTCCCAGGATCATTCACTGCGTCGAGCTTCCTCGTTTCCTACATTGTCTTCGTGATCTTTTTCGTGTTGTACTTCGGGCACAAATTCTGTTACAAGACGCCATGGATAGTCAAAGTGTCAGAACTTGACATTCCCAGTGGCAAGGACAAGATCGACCGACTTGAAGAAGAGGAGGTCGTACCCCAGCCACGCAACTGGCTCGAGCGAGTGTGGTGGTGGATTGCATAGAGTCTGTTTTGATCTGCTGTTATTTTTCGAGCGCTCCTATCTAGATGGTGCTTTTACTGCGAATATGATACCGTGTGGTGGAGAGATAGATATTGTTTTTGTGTGTACTTTGTACGGAGTAGATTGTATACATGTAGATTTAGCGCCGATCAGTGGGTTTCATCTAAAACAGCTTAAATAGCCGCTATCAAGCTTATCTACATTTGCGGGGAGTGTCAATTCTTTATTACCTACAACTACATAGGTAACTAGTACTACTAGTATCTCCTATATTATCTCTTGACTAATAAGAACTGGAATTTACAGGACAAAGGCCCGGTGAACAAGTTGATTTTCTCTTGGAAGCTGCGCTGATAGACGCCGGCCCGGTGAGATCCACCCGGGACAATAACCGGCCACTGCTGATTGGCTATTGCCTTCAACCAGTCCCAAGGGTTGTACCATGCAGCGATGAGCTTCCCTGACCGGTAGTAGCCGGCCATTTTTCACCCATTCTTCCCCGCGTCTACTTCTTCTCCAAGTCTTCCCTTTTCAAGATTTGAAAGAGTTGATTCATTGTCTTCGTTTCAAATTATCATAATGATGTCCTCTATTCTGCGCATCCGTGCGCCCATTTCGCGTCTCGCATGCCGCATTCCGAGCTCCAGCACACGCTCCGTCGGCACTTACGCCACTTTCAAGGTGCCCCAGATTAACAATGAACCTAACGTAAGTTCGGTATTAGAATTGAGATTATTTGATCATTCAGGCTAATTTTGAATCTTAAGAAACACTATATTCCTGGAACTCCGGATCGCAAGGGCCTCGAAGAGGCTTTGGCCAAGTACACGCAGAAGGCTCCCTTGAACGTGCCTCTGGTTGTTGCGGGCAAGGAGGTAAGCGTTAAGAGGAGAAACCATTTATACTGAAACAACAATATCTAACACTTAATCACACAGCTCAACGGATATGAAACCTTCACCCAGTCTAACCCCGCAACCCATGCTCCTGTGGCAACTTATTCCAACGCATCAAAGGCCGATGTTCAGTCCGCCATTGATTCAGCTCTCGCCGCTCGCAAGTCCTGGGCCGATACTCCTTTCTCCGAGCGTGCTAGCATCTTCCTCAAGGCTGCTGATCTTATTGCGACTAAGTACCGCTACGATATCATGGCCTTGACTATGCACGGACAAGGCAAGAACGCGTGGCAAGCCGAGATTGATTCCGCCGCTGAGCTCTGTGACTTCTTCCGATTCGGTGTGAAGTACGCCGAGGAGCTTTATGCCCAGCAGCCTAGTCACCACGCTACCGGTGTATGGAACCGTCTTGAGTACCGCCCTCTTGAGGGCTTCGTTTACGCGATCAGCCCCTTCAACTTCACCGCAATCGGCGGTAACTTGGCTGGTGCCCCCGCTCTGATGGGTAATGTCGTGATCTGGAAGCCCTCGCCTTCCGCGATTGCCTCCAACTGGCTCGTGCACCAGATCCTGCTTGAGGCCGGTCTCCCTAAGGACGTCATCCAGTTCGTTCCTGGTGACGCCGCGGAGGTCACCAGCACCGTCCTCGAAAGCCGCGAATTCGCCGCTCTTCACTTCACCGGAAGCACTGATGTCTTCCGTATGCTTTACGGTAAGATCTCACAGGGTGTCGCCGACGGTAAATACCGCGGCTACCCCCGTATTGTGGGTGAGACCGGTGGCAAGAACTTCCACTTGGTGCACAAGTCCGCAGATGTCCGCAACGCCGCGGTCCAGACCGTGCGCGGTGCGTTCGAATTCCAGGGCCAGAAGTGCAGTGCCACCTCCCGTGCCTACATTGCCTCTTCGATCGCCGAGGACTTCGCCCAGCAGGTCGTCGCCGAGGTGCAGAAGATCAACGTTGGCGAGCCATCTGAGTTCACCAACTTCTGCGGTCCCGTCATCCACGAGGCTTCGTTCAACAAGCTGTCCGGTGTCATTGATGAGGCCAAGAATGACCCCGAGCTTGAGTTGCTCGTCGGTGGAACTTACGACTCTTCCGCTGGATGGTACATCCAGCCTACGGTCTACCGCACCAGCAACCCTGACCACCCTCTGCTTTCCCGCGAGCTTTTCGGTCCCGTTCTGGTCATTCACGCCTACAACGACGCCACCGACGCCGACTTCACCAAGATTTGTGACAAGATCGATAGCACCAGCACTTACGCTCTGACCGGCTCTATCTTTGCTCAAGATCGTGCGGCTGTCCAGGTCGCCGATGAGGCTCTCCGCAATGCCGCTGGTAACTTCTACATCAACTGCAAGAGCACTGGTGCTGTTGTCGGTCAGCAGCCCTTCGGTGGTGCCCGTGCTAGCGGTACCAACGACAAGGCTGGCAGTGCCAACTTGATGTCCCGTTTCGTCAGCTTGCGCTCCATCAAGGAGGAGTACGTTCCCACATACACCGTTGCGTACCCCAGCAACGCCAACTAATGGATAACGGTCCCCCATCCATGACTTTTCGAGTTGATCCTGCGTGCTTTATGATCTCATTGGCGTCAATCTTGCATCCCACCCCGGCGTTTTCTTAAATTGTGTCTACGAATTTCCAAAGAATCATCAAAATTTGTATTTCAGTCTAAACAGACAATATATCAAATGTACCTATAACTTCAAACCCTATGACATTATAAATATTTCACAGGCAATATGTTCCCCTCAATCCGTCGCACAATTCTTCAAAAACTTCTGCATACTATCCATAGCCTTGGCCGCAAAAGACCCCATCTCATACTTCTTCCCGGTTCCCTGCGGGCCACTATCAAAGATCTCCATCGACAACCAACCCCGGAACCCCGTTTTCAGCACAGCCCTCCCAACATCCTCAATGGGCAAATACCCACCGTCATACGGCATAGGCCTGTAGTCATGACTCCAGCGACCCCTCGCCCTCAGCCCACCAATAGTCTTACCCTCCAACGGCGGCGACACCTTATACGCATCTGAGATCTGCAGCAGATAGATCTTCTCACTGGGGATAGATCTTGCAAGCTCATCCATACTCGCCTCAAACCGCTTCTGTAGTTCGGACTGCGAAACCGATTCAATCAGACCAGACTCGGTAGTCGGATCACCCCATTCACTACCTGCAGTCTGGAATGTGTCCAAACACAACCCGCAATTCGGGCGATCTACAGCTTTCACTATCTCCCAGACTTCCTTCCACCCGGGCGCATGGGTCGACCAGCACCAGTTCTCGTAGGCGAGACGGTAGTTGCGTTTTGCGAGGATCTCGGATAAGGCCCGTAAGTCGGAGATGATCACGTCGCGTTCTTTCTTGATTAAGGGCTCCGGTGTGTCTGTTGCTCCGACCTGGGTATACTATTAGCTTGATGGTCTCTTCAAGTTTTGTGGTGCTCAATATATATATATTACTGCCATACCTGTAACAAATCCGTACCCACAACATTCATAATCTCCATCCAGCCTATCGCTCTAGCAAATGCCTCCTCACGATCCACGGAACCCTTGACCCAGCCTTCGAAGTTGGAGAATGGCTGCAGCATCATGATTTTCAACTTGTGTTCTTCGCATAGTTTGCGGATCTTCTCTGCCACGGGCATAATCGCGGGGTAGTCGTCTGGCGCGATTGGATTACCAGTGACTTGTGCGCCATAGGTTAAGATGTCTGGGAAAGACAGCTCGATCGCACTAAATCCCGCTTCGGCGATTGCTTGCAGGCGGCGCGGGAGTGTGTCGTTTGGACCGCAGCCGATTGAGCAGGAAGCGTACGAGAAGGGGATCTTTTGGAGGCTTGAGTGGGGGATGGCCATTTTTTTGGTTCCTTTTCTTCTAAAAAAATAAAAAAGAGGTGAAGCCAAAATGATGTGGTGTATCGTGATCTTGTGATCTTGTTGGGAGCTGTTCGTATTAACAAACAGGCATATACAGCTAGCTCACTGGACGATGGGGAGGGAGCTTCTATGAAAGATTGCCATGCTTGGTACTATTGGAGTATATATTTGCCTAATTTGTTTTTTGTTTCCTTTTGTTTCGCCCATCGCTTCTTCATTCTGTGTCCATTCTGATGTAATTTTGGATCCAGCTCTTGGATAGGGCTTGTGTCGTCACTGGTGTATCATATCAACCTACATCAAGCTTGGCCACAACCAGTTTCATAGACTGTACATCAATCATTTTGCCTCATTTGTCTCACTTGCCTCTTCTGCTCAAACCTGTTTTCTATACAAGAGGAGGCGCACTCTGTTGGCTGGTTCGTGGCGTGTCTGATTACATTTTGACAATTCCCCGGATTTGGGATCCGGTCGCCACAAGCTTCTCGTTGAAGAAGAGCGAAAGTCACTTCGGACATCTTCATGCAAATATCATTTGTATATTTCGCATATGAACTGTGAATCGTGAACCCGGAATAAGTTAAGTCTTGCAGACCCAAAACCAATTCACAATGCCGCCCCCTATCAAAAGTATCGGCGTCGTCGGAGCCGGAAACATGGGCTCTATGATGACCCTACGCTTCGCAGAGCTCGGCCTCGAAGTCTCGGTCTGGGATGTACAAAAGAAGAACGTCGATGAAGTTATGAACTATGCAAGAGACGACAAGGGCATCACAGGCCGAGTCCAAGGATTCCACGACATCAACAAATTCGTCAAAAGCCTAGAGGGCAAGTCCGACCGGAAACTATTCATGTTTTCCATCACGCACGGCGAGCCCGCAGACCAAGTACTCCGCATGCTGAAACCCGATCTCAAAGAGGGCGATATCATCCTCGATGGTGGAAACGAGAACTACCGGCACACTGAGCGGCGCCAGGAAGAGTGTGCCGCCATCGGTGTTGCCTGGATCGGAATGGGCGTTTCGGGTGGATATCAGTCTGCGCGACGGGGACCCAGCCTCTCACCTGGTGGAGATGCCAAAGCCATCGAGCGTGTTATGCCATTTTTGGAGTCGTACGCGGCGCATGATCCCAAGACTGGGGTTCCGTGCGTGAAGCGTATGGGTCCCGGTGGATCGGGACACTACATCAAGATGGTCCATAATGGCATCGAGGGTGGTATGCTTTCTGTTCTTGCTGAGACATGGCAATACATGCATGAGGGACTGGCCATGGAGCATGGTAAAATCGGAGATATCTTCGTCAAATGGAATGAGTCTGGCGAGCTGCGCGGTAACTACTTGATTAACATCGGTGCCGATATGTTACACACCAAGAGAACACCAAAAGGTGACCGCAAAGGCGAGGGAGCTAGTCGGGATGATGGGTATGTGCTCGATGATGTGCTTGACAAGGTGGTTCAGGACGACGACAATACCGAAGGAACTCCACACTGGTGTCTCATGGAGTCTGCCGCCCGACATGTCTCCTGTCCGACTTTAGCGGCCGCCCATTACCTGCGAGTCTCGAGTGGAAACCGGATAGAGAGAGCGCGTGTTGCGAAAAAGCTGGAGATGCCCATGCCGAAACCGATCGAGGGAACCCGGGACCATGCAGTAATCATCGAGAACCTACGACAGGCTGTGTACTGCTCGTTCCTGGCATCTTTCTGTCAGGGCTTGGAGTTAATTTCCCGAGCTTCAATTGAGGAAGGCTGGAATGTCAACTTGGGCGACTGTCTCCAGATCTGGCGAGCGGGATGTATCATTAAGTCTGAGCATATCGCGGATCTATTACAGCCACCGCTTGCAGCCCACAATGAGTTGACGAACACCAAGTTTGTGGATGCAGTCGCTCATGAGTTGCGACAGAACTTCCACAGCCTCAAACAGGTTGTCATGGAGGGGACGATGTTTGATCAGTATATTCCTGCTCTCTCGGCTACTCTGGAATATCTCAAGTATGAGGGTGGATTGGGACTGCCGACCCAGTTCATGGAGGCGCAGATGGATTACTTCGGTGCCCACAACTATAACAAGCCTGGTATTCCAGGCGAGGATCCAGGACCAGTTCACAAGGGTCCTCATCATTATGAGTGGTTGCCGGCTTAGATTTGGTTCGACTGTATCACCCCGGACTCTGTGTATCGCCCCAGATTGTATCTATTATGTCAAATGTATCAAATTGCACAAAATGGTATTTTTTTCAAGATGTTGCTGAACGATGCTTAAGTATCACCCTAATAGACATATAATAAAGATAGATGTAGATGTGGTTATAGTTTTCATAGATCGCCCAAAAAGGCAGGTGGCGGCCTCAGGAACCAGCAGCACGTGGGTCGATCAACAACCAATCGGAGAAGCGGAGTTGCCCGCAGCCTCAGAGATTTGAAGATGGCGCAAGATGCGCTGGATCTTAGGCTTACGTTCATTCTCTTCTATATCGAAACCATTTCGTCGAATTGAGTCTGCAAAACAACTCGCTCGCAGAATGGCTTCTCTCCCCACCACATACGACGGTACGTGTACTTCTGTCCCTCTCACGTTACTACCTCTCATACCCCCACTTCGATAGAAAGCTGACGATAGTAAATCTGACAGGGTCTGTCCCAATCGCTGTCATCGGCGGCACTGGTCTGCGCGAGTTGCCCGGCTTCACCCAGGTGGCCTCGCTGAATATCACAACCCCCTGGGGCGTGCCTTCTTCGCCCATCAGTATTCTACACCACGAATGTAAGCACAACAACAAGGTTGTCGCCATCGCCTTCTTGAGCCGCCACGGCTTGCACCACCAGATCGCTCCTCATGAGGTTCCCGCTCGTGCCAATATCGCCGCCCTGCGCTCCATCGGTGTCCGCAGCATTATTGCTTTCTCCGCTGTCGGCAGTCTGCAGGAGGAAATCAAGCCCCGCGACTTTGTCATCCCCGACCAGGTCATTGACCGCACCAAGGGCGTGCGCCCGTGGACTTTCTTCGAGGGTGGTATTGTTGCTCACGTCCCCTTCGGCGACCCCTTCGATGAGGGTATCGCCAAGGTGGTGCGCGAGTGCGGACACAGTCTCGAGGGTGACGGTGTCGTCCTGCACGACCGTGGTACTCTGATCTGCATGGGTATGTGAAGCTGTAAACCATTTTCACGACCAAACGTCGCTAATCATCTCTCTTCTATCCTCTAGAGGGCCCCCAGTTCTCCACTCGCGCCGAGAGCAAGATGTACCGCTCATGGGGTGGCAGCGTCATTAACATGTCCGTCCTCCCTGAGGGCAAGCTGGCCCGCGAGGCCGAGATCGCCTACCAGATGATCTGCATGTCCACGGACTATGACTGCTGGCACGAGTCCACCGCTGACGTCACCGTCGAGATGGTCATGGGCAACATGAAGTCCAACGCTGACAACGCTCGCCGTTTCATCACGGCAGTCCTTGATGCCCTGGCTAGCGAGGAGCACACCGAGCTTGTCCAGGCTAAGCACCTGGCTGGCGGTATTAAGTTCGGTGTTAGCACCCCTCAGGCTTACTGGAAGCCCGAGGCTAAGGAGAAGCTGGACTGGCTTTTCCCTGGCTACTGGTAGATCTAGAGGCTTTGAGATTTAGGCAGATATTGTTCTGCCTTGTCACTTGACGTGCATCTGATGGTAGCATATGTGCATTATAGTTCTAGAATACCAACATGATAGACATGATTGATGTGCAATTTTGGAATGATATGACTTCACATTTGGTTGACTCCACTTGCTTATGCCGGGCAAAGTTTGTTATCAAAAATCCTTATTCTGACTTGCATACATATGTTGTCAAAGAGGGTAGCTCTTGGGTGGTAGTCCGGTAGTTGTGAAATCAACCATCTTTTATTTTCTCTCTGAATTCTAAGGAATCAGTCTAGTCTTAACTGCTCGGGACCGACCTGAGTAGGTTTCGGTAGTCAACCCCAAGTAGGGGTGTTCGCTCAATCGAGCTTCATTGGTGTGCAGCTCAATTTCGTATCGATGAATTCGGGCCCGCAGAGCTTTCGCCTCCAGCCATCGGTTTCGAATTAGGAGTTCATGATTGGATTGTAATTCCCGGGTGTCTCTCAGCTGCCGCCTAAGATCTTTCAACTTGGCTCGAGGTGTCCATTCTCCTTCCGGTGAATTTCCCGCACCAGCTTGTGCTACCAGTAAGGCTGGAACCTGTTTGGTTGCATGAGTTTTCGGAGGACTCGAGGTAAGGACAGAATGTAGAATGTCCCTGAGGGGTTGGAGAAGGTGGATCGTTGGGATTAGGGACCTTGCAGCTCCCTTCCCCTCCATCGGTATGATCCTAGTGCCGGGTGATAAAACTTTCAATCAGGTTCGGTTCGGGTTCAGAGAGTTCAAGACCAGAACTGGTTTTGTGAATCGTCCGTCCTGTACGTAGTCAAGGACATGGTGAACCACTCGTCTTAGGCTACCTTCTCCCCCAAAGAAACGAGGGAACATTTTTCTCACAGCAGGTCCATACTCCATCAAGGTCTGTAGGTCTTTCAGGTCTGTAGGTCTTTCAGGTCAAGTTTTCCCTCGTTCTTCTTTGCTTTGATCGTTTCCGGAAGAGATTCCAGGGTTTTCCAGGCTGTGTAGCGAGTTGGTCGATCCTTATCTACCATTTCTCGAATGTATGCTACCACTGATGAAACTTCATATTCCCCGAGGCCGGACGCACCGTATTTCCTCAGCGGTTGCACAGAACTGGGAGATTCGTTGAACCCTAGGATAGTAACTTAGGTTGGACTTCACGGCCCACACGTTGCAATCTTGAGGGTGGAGGGAATCTGGCGAGTGATCAGTTGAGTGCTTGATAGTGGAGTTATGGTCATAATATTTGCACAAAGGAGTTAGATTGAATTGGATAAATTAACAAGCAGCCTACAGAAACCGAGATTTGAAAGATTTTTTTATTCTCAAAGATATCACAACTAAAGATATAGTTATCTATAGGTGAAGGGAAAGAGAAGTTCGATCAAATCCACAAAATTGAACTCCACCGTCTTCAATTCGCATTGAGCCGTTTCTAGTCTAAATCGATCGATCTCAATTCCTACGAATTATCCGAATATCATGTTATTGCTATTGATTCCTTCTCCTTCCAGCAAGACTTTTTACTTTGTGAGACAAGCTCAGTCAGGTCTTCATCTTTCTTACCACGCAGCTCAACAAACCCTAATTCTCAGAATAACGACCAACGAACAAGCGCAAGTTACCATGGCATCCAACACCGAAATCATGGCAATTTTGCAGCTTATGGGTCTTTATCGAGCACTCCAAGGATATGGAAATGTGGATGTCGACGTTGGCAATGGAAATGTGAAGCGGCCGGATTGGGTCTGGGGCCCCATTCGGCGTCGGGATGGTCCCAAACGACCTGGGGTATGCCACCGGCACATAACTCTGTTATTGGTTCATATTACCAGTAATTTAGATCTAGTCTCACTTTACAAAAACTAATGTTGTAGATGCTTAAATATGTCTGAATACCTACCTAGGTAGATTATAAGGTTAATAAGATCAATGCCTTCTAAAATAGGCATATTTGCAGATATGTTAATCGGTATCATATTCATCATGAATATGTCTTTCCTGGCCAGATATTAGCTTGCGCATAGCGCTTGAATTACCGGTCTCCACAAGGCGCAGAATATTGGGTTCACAACTATTCGCAAGTAGAGCTGAGGGTTGAATATTAAGTGGAATAGGCGACAACCCTATGGCAGTGCGTTTTTTAAATCTGATGCTTATTCAAGATCTTCAGTTATACAGAGGAGGAGCTCCAAGGGTAGTGAAAATAGAGGTGCATGTTGTAGTTGAGTTGGGAGTGGTCACTGGTCACTTCCATGGGGGAACAATATATCTCCTATTTCGGATGCACGTGATATATCTGCCTTGTATCTAAGGCATCAATGACGCTAACCTCCGATTCACCGACCTGCCAGATAATCTGCCGTTCTTATCTTCCCCCAGACGGCCCCAACATCAACAAGTATCTGAACAGCCTAGACTGTGCCTTTTTTTTTTTTTTCTTCAGGATGTACCAGCTGGGCGGATACCATTGTTAATAGAACGAACTACACCAACGTTGTCTTAATATCTTTTTCACGTCCTTTCGCCTTCGAACATAGCTTGATCACCTGTCGCGAGCCAAATTCAAATGATACGAGTTGGAGACCTACACTTTCTGATGGTATGACCGGCGATACTACAAGATTGCGCATATTTTCAAGGAATACGTTGGCTTGTCGCGGATTGCTGGGTCAAAATGAGCCCTGCTGCAGATCCCAGTGAAGCTCCGTCACAACGGAAGATGGCCGAATATGGCATCGAAAGCGGAACCAATGGGAGCCTGAAAGTTGAGAAACAATCTTTGTTCAATTCTATCGCGGGGACACGCAGTCGTGTAGATACTCCCATGACACAGTTCAACGGCGAGGCTGACGAACACCCAACCAATGGAGACAATGACACAGGAGGACAACGGAGACGCGATACGACCTCCGAATGCCACCTTACCAACGAAGGGCATAAAATGGCAGACCCGGAACCAGAGCAGGGACTCGGCATCCTAGTCGAGCACCCACCGAACAACGGAGATAATGTTGGCCAGTTGTCGGTAGTGGATGTGTACGATGACCCCAAGGTCAAGGTTGTTTTGGCTGAGTTGACTAATGATATGTCCCACCGACTACCCGAGGACAACGATAAGGTTGTGAAGTTGTCTCCTGAGAAGATCCAGGCGCTCACGTCCTCCCCGGAATCAATACCTTTCGGTCCTGTGGGATCAGAAACGAACACTGGAAGGAGAGTAGCGTCAGACAACGTTCATGGGAATGCCCCTCTCGCGCCACCGGAGATGCCGGACTTTGCGCTTCGCTCACTGAGCGAAAAGCCTTCCCCCTCGGATGTTTTGCCAAAGTTGCGACCGACTAAAGAAGTGTTGCTGGGAGATGCTTCTGTGCCGGCGAGTCCTGCCTTTCCACGAAATACTCAAAATCCCCCCTCCGCAATAGGCCGCACCCCGCACGAACGGTTTCCACCCCTAGCTCCACGCGGCGTCAATTACCTGTGACCCCAGGTAATGACCGCCTAACCCAGACATGGGCATCGCGCTCGAAACAGGACCGACCCGCGCTGGACCGCGAGTTGAAGAATCACCTTATCCCATCACCTCAGATAATAGAATCGCCTATGCCCTCACCTTTGCCGTCGTCTATCCCCTTGCCGCCAGTTTCTCTGCCAACTTATCTTCAGCTCGAGCTTGCTTCTGGTCGACCTTCACCACTGTACATACACCGCGACGCAGCCAACGACTTCCCCTATGAATCATCAGCAGTTAAGATCGAGAGGCTTATGAACTTTATTATGCTTGCTCCTATGCTCGAGCAGGTACTTTGCTTTGGCAGTCTTGCCTGCCTTGATGCATGGCTTTACTCTTTCACCATAATGCCGCTGCGGTTTATCAAGGCCGTCTATATATTGGTTGAGTCATGGGTGATGAACCTGGGAGCTGAGATTCGGTTCATTTGGAAATTTGTGCTGAATGGGATTGGTCGAGTATGGCGCAGGAGGAATCATAATGCGAAGGAGGACGAGCGCGGAAGACGCGAAAGCGAATCTGAGGCCACTCCTCACCTGCCTCCGGGCTCTTCCTCGGGGCCAGATATAGCGCCAAGAAGGAAGCATCGGTCCTCTGAATCCCGTAAATATCACCATCGGCGGAAGAAGTCGATGCCGTCGGCGCTACTTCCAGACGATAAAGCGGATATTCTGACAGGCCTGCTGATGATAGCGACGTGCTGCGTCTTGATGTACTTCGATGCAAGTCGAATGTACCACTGGATTCGTGGACAGGCTGCTATCAAGCTATACGTTATCTACAATGTGTTGGAGGTCAGCGACAGGCTCTTGGCTGCCATAGGCCAAGATGTCCTCGAGTGTCTCTTCTCGCGGGAGGCTCTTGAGCGTCGTCCGGACGGCCGAAGCAAGATCATCCGTCCATTCTGGTTGTTCCTGGTGGCACTAGTTTACACAGTATCCCATGCATTGTCTCTGTTCTACCAGGTCATGACACTGAATGTGGCAGTGAACTCATACTCCAACGCACTTATTACGCTACTTTTATCAAACCAGTTCGTGGAGATCAAATCCACCGTCTTCCGCAAGTTCGAAAAAGAGAACCTCTTCCAGCTTACCTGCGCGGACGTCGTGGAACGATTCCAACTATGGCTGATGCTTACAATCATCGCCTCGCGTAATATCGTGGAAACGGGCGCGTTCAATTTCGTCGGCAATCTTGGACTGGCATCTAGCTTCCCTGGCCAGTCCTCTACAATCACGAACAGCACACCGTTATCCACACCTCCACGCACAGCATCATCCATCCTCCCCCAAGCATTCACGCTCTTCCCATCCTCAATCCTCTCATCCTTCAACAGCGTGAACTCCTTCATCCCAACCCTAGCCCAAGTCCTAGGTCCATTCCTAGTCGTACTAGGCTCAGAGATGCTAGTAGACTGGCTGAAACACGCCTACATCAACAAATTCAACAACAACCGCCCAGCAATCTACGGCCGATTCCTCGACGTCCTAGCAAAGGACTACTACACCAACGCCTTCGGCGAACAAAACCTAACCCGTCGAATTGGCCTCCCAGTCATCCCGCTCTCCTGTCTCTTCTTCCGAGTCTCCGTGCAAACATACCAAATGTTCCTGGCAGCCCTCCTCCCCCAACACCCATCCTCAACAGCAATGGGCGCAACATCCCTAACCTCAATCCACAACAACTACGCCCCCTCCCCAGTCCCCTCCGCCCCACCCTTAACACTCGCTACCCTCCTCCCAGCCTCCGCCGCCCACGTCAGCGCGCTGTTCCGCACCCTCCTCGAAAACGCAATCCCGTCACCAGCACAGTCTGTCCGTATCTTCACCGGCATCTTACTACTGACAGCATTCATCGTGCTACTCATCTTGAAACTCCTGCTGGGAATGGGGTTACTTGCGTTTGCGCGGTCGCGATACAGTAAGATGAAGAGTCGCGAGAGCGAGCGGAAACAGTCCCCGAATAACCAGGCTGGTACTGAGAGTGGGGCGCCTCGTACTCGGGATTACTATGTTGAAGGGAGTCAGCGTGTTGGTGGGTGGGGTGTTGTTGAAGTTGGGGATGAGAAGAGGAGGTTGATTTATGCAGATGATCTGGATGGGTTGAGGAAGTTGAAGGAGAAGGAGGAGAAAGATAAGAGTAAGGATGGGGAGTTTAATGTTGATCATGTACAGCGATATGAGATGATTGCCAAGAAGATTTGGTGATTTGGTGTTGCGATGGTGGTGGAAGGTGTCCACGGGTTGAGTGTAACTTATTATCCATAGCTGTATAATACTCATCCTATTTTTACTTTACATTGTTTGGGCTCATGAAATCATGTAATGGGATATCAAGATTACTTCGAGCTACTTGCTATCTATACATTGTAGTAGAAGGGGAATAAAAGGTCTCAATCCATGGCATCGGGAATAAGGATTTGAGGGAGGATATCAAAGTAAGGCGAATAGGGGTATGTACAAGACCTCGAGAGGCTCGCTGGTCGTGATCAGTATGAGAGAGTAGACCGGTCATCAACCACAGAAGAGCCAGCTTCTGGTTTTCATCGTAACAAGGTGTCATAGCCTTCAAATGAAAGCTACGAGGGTGGGCGTTATCAATATTGGTGCGTATTTGCGCGATTGAATGTGTGCCCCGGTGGAGCGCTATGCATAGCCGAGGGCGAAGCGGTATTGGCCCGAGGCCCCTGGGAGCGAGGCTGGGGTGTCTGATGAGCCATTGGCGGGTTGAAAGCTGCATAGCCACCATTTTGAGGAGCGGGAGTTGCTGAACCCATTGGGGTGTATGTCCTTTGTGGTGGCTGTCCGTATGCGGCTGCTTGTGGGGGAGGTGTGGGTTGGTAGCTTGCCGGAGTGTTGGTCCGATAGGGAGCGGGAGTACCACCGGTGCTTGCCGGGGTGTATGTTCGGTAAGGAGCAGGCGTCGCACCGGTGCCAGCCGGCGTGTAGGATCTTGCAGAATATGGATCCTGTGGATAGTAATCTTGCTGTGTGCGAGGCGGGTTTCTCTGGCTACCTGGAGGCGCGAAACCTGCTCCGTATTCGTCCTCTCCGCCGTATGTACCCCTTGGAGGACCGTATGGGTCGTAGTGAGCTGGCGCATTGCCACGATTGTAATGATCGTGATCATCGGATGCATCTACCTCAGCTGAGGGATAATCGGGCGCTGGGGTGTGATTCTGATATCGTCGAGAACCAGAGCTATCGGTCAAGTTGCGATATCCAGGGCCGGAGGTATTACGACCATCATTGCCATATGGCGCAGGAGTCGCTTGAGAGTGAGGAGTGGCCTTCCTTGATGGAACGTTAGCCGGTAGGGGAGGGACCGGGGGAAGCGTCGGAAGCGACGGCTTCTGCCCATCAAGAGGCGTGTATCCCATTCCGGCCGCATTGCCGGTCAGTGAGGCAGACTCGGACATGGCTGAAGATGAAGTCCCGGTTCGGGCCAACGTTGGTTTGCCATCAAAGTTTAGATTCGGAAGTGTCGGGTTGTGTGTCGGCGCTGTCGAGGTCGATCGCGAGTAAGGCGGCAGAGTAGTCTGGGTGGTACTTCGCGACAAAGAATGTACTGCGGAGACCTTGTCTTCGGCGAAAGACGGCAGAGTCGGGTTCGAATCCGTGGCCAGCGATGGCTGAGTGGGTGCTCGGTTCTGTAATTTGAGTCCCTTTGCCAGGGCCTTGTTGTTCTTGCGGTGCGTGATGCGCTTTAGACGTTGACCGACTTTCCGACGGCAGTACCTCGAAAGAGTACCGTCTTCCGCTGGGATATGGTGGAACAGGAAGATCAAATAGAGTACGATTGCCGAGATCAACTTGAGAACCGATAGCACCCAAATGACCAGGGTAAAAAGCATACCAAACAAAACCACGGCTTGAAGGGTGCTGTCCTCGGCCAAAATCTTAACGTTGTTGAAGAATTGAGCAGCCGAGGAACTTCCATCATCGTGAGCTGCATTCTTTCCCCCAGGAATGAGGTCCATTTTCATGACCGAATAGAGAGTGATAGCATTGAGAACTTGACGCGGGCCATCTGCGAAGATCGTGTTCATCCAGACTAAAAGCTCCATTAGAAAATTTCGAAGACTAGTGAGGCATAGTGGTATACATACACTGGAAAGAAAAGTATGCATAAAGAGCAACATATTCTGCTGCTTTCCTGTCTTTGGTTAATTCAGCGAAGACAAGGAATCTCCTGTATCCCCGACCCCGCCTGCCGAATCGAATACTCTGAATACGCACGGCGAGCGGGTCCAGGAAACTGCGAGTAATACTACCCGAGCGGATGGCGCGAACGGCATGTATCCATCGGTAGGCCAAAAGAACGAACGAAGCAATAATGCAAGCGGCGAAGATCCAGCGGGAAATATTGAAGGGAATGGCGGGTTCCACTCTTCCGGACCATCGAGAGAAAGCCAGCAAGTTGACTGCAGTAAATGTATCGACACCGTAGACTGCAATCGAGATGAATAGGAACACCCATAGGAAGAAATATGAGAAGGGCGTTAAGCAAGACTCGGATTTAAAGTCGTCCAAGTTCTAAGGGAATAATTATCAGTATACCGAGCCATCTATACAACATATACAACGCTGAGACTGTGTAGACCTACCACGTAGTCCCATTTCTCCTCCATCGCGACATCCCCCTTCTCACGGTCTCCACCACACAGCATTGTGTTAATTGACCTGGTCCTGCCAGGGAGTGATCACGGATGGTTTGAAAGAAAGGCACGATCACGGACGGGAAGGTCGACTTCCTCGGGCCAGCCGGGCAAAAGTCGTGATCGAGGTTGGAATCAGGTGTAAAGAATAAAGAGAGGCGAAAGTCAGGCGCAACAAGGGGAATGGTGGTATATTAACCGCGCGAATGGCGCATACCTGCGGAAGGCAAGGAGGGAGGCTGATCGCGGTGTCAGATATCGAGGGCTGCAAGCCACGTGGATATGATCACAATGAAGCGCTGGTATTCTGGGCACGCATTTAGGGTATTCAAAGCGACAATGGACGGACTTTCATTGAATACCGAGAATACCGCCGATCTCGCCAAGACAGGGGCACGATGTGGAGAAAGAATGCGCAATTATTCGTGCCAATAGGTGGAAATAGGGTTGAAAGAATGCGTCAACCTCGACAGCCTGGAACCTGGGAAAGAAATGAGTGACACAAATGGAAGTTGAGAAAGGAGAAGAAGTGAAACAACGAGGAGAGGAGGGGGGGAAGAGGAGTTCGGCAGGGGTGGGGACGCGGGAAGTTACAGTTTACTTTTTAGGGCTGACGGAGGTCTCTTCTTTGTTTTTTTCTTTGTTTTTCTTTGTTTTTTCATATGAAACTATTCCTTTGATTTCTTTTGTTTGTTCTTCAGATGTTCTAAATTGGGAATCTCCTAGGCTACCTTCATCAATACCCCTGATACTATTCATATTAAACCTATTCCTGGCACAATCCCTCTCACTATCACTGGCCCACTGAAAAAAAAAACCCTGAGACAGATAAGATGGGTCCCCCGACATTATTCCCCCGACACTATCCATTCTGACTGCTCACTGGCCATCCGCACGCGCCAGGAGAGGGTCCGGTCCATGTATCTAAGCGCTGATTCATATTCCGGGCGCTACACAGGTTGACTGCAATTTCCGACGTGGCCTTATGGCCTTATGGCATTATCTTCTTTTTTTTTTTTTAATATATGTGTTTTGTGGTATACTCTTCTCGAACGGGAGTAAACAAACATGTTGATACCTGAGGTGTCATTCCCTATTTTAGACATCACCTGATCGTGTCTAACCTTGGAAGGGACAAGCTCATTTCCAAGGTCAATGCCAAGACTTGGCCTCGATGAGCACTAACCTTCGAATGGCTCCTGGGCGCTTCCCTACAAAACAACACCATACATTCAGAGTGGCTAATAACCCCATTCCCAAACATTGAAAAGGTGAAACCTTCAATGTTCGAGCTGTCTAAGTTCTTAACAGCCTTAACTCCACCGGATCGGCGGCAATCCCACAATCAAACGGCGCCCAGCCCCCAAAGCTGTTCCAGCGCGCGTCGCGTTATATTTCATCAACATTCATCTAACTTGTTTTGGCTCGACTTCTCCACATAATACAACAATGAGTAAATTGTTGTCACTGGCCATTCGGTCCTTACCCCCGCATGGATTATGTTCCCGAGTTCATGCTCCTGTCCTTCGTAAGATGAGCATGCCACTACTTCATCATAACCAACCGCGCTGCGCGTTCACCCTCACCGCATTCACCTCAATGGATACAAATGATGATGATGTTAACAATCATTTCCTCTATGAGCCTCTTGAGGAAGTCGAAAGATTTGAGAACTACCGACCAGGGGGTTATCACCCCATACAAATCGGGGATCACTTTCACAGTCGATATCGAGTTGTTCATAAGCTGGGACATGGGTCTTATTCAACTATGTGGCTAGCCTACGATGAACAATCCAACAAATATGTTGCCCTGAAAGTTTGCATAGCAAACTCGAACCCGAAGGAAGTGGACATTATATCCACTCTCACTCGTCCTCATTATTCTGTCCATAATCCTGGAAAGACAATGGTTCCTTCGATTTTAGATAAGTTTACCATTCACGGTCCAAACGGCAATCATACCTGCTATGTTACAGCGACGGCGAGGGTTAGCCTCTCCGGGGCGAAAGATGGTTCGTGGATCCGCTTATTCCAGCTTGATGTAGCCAGGTCATTATCTGCGCAACTCGTTCTCGCTGTGGATTATGTGCATGCCAGAGGAATTGTCCATGGGGACATTCACCTAGGCAACATTATTCTAAAGGTTCCACCCAATTTTGACCTGCTCACACTCGACAAATTATATGAGAAATATGGAGCACCGGAGCTAGAGCCAATTGTTCGTCTGAATGGAAATCCAGATACCAATCCGCTTCCTCCCGGTGTCCCATCCCACGCCATCACACCTGTATGGCTAGGGGAAGCAAGTGAGAAAATCACACTTGCTGAAGCCAGGATCTTGCTTACAGACTTTGGTGAAGCGTTTTCACCCTCAAAAGAACTGAGATACGAATCTCACACTCCCCTCGTCCTCCGACCCCCCGAGGTGAGGTTTGAACCAAAGAAGCCTTTATCCTTTTCATCGGACATCTGGACTCTCGCCTGTACCATATGGTCTATCGTCGCTCAACGGCCGTTGTTTGAAGGATGTCTCGCGACCGAGGACGACATAACCTGTGAGCATGTCGATACTCTTGGCGTTTTGCCACCTAAATGGTGGAAGAGGTGGGAAGCGCGACAGAATAAATTTACCGAGGATGGTAAGCCAATAAACCGTCCCTATAACGATTTCCGATCTTGGGACGATCGGTTTGAAGATAGCGTGGAAAAGCCCAGGCGAGATAAGGGGATCCCCTCGTTTGATGCAAAGGAGAGAGATGCTATCTTCGACATGCTCCGGCCGATGCTCTCATTCAGACCGGAGGATCGTCCTAGTACTAAGCAAATTCTCGAGTCAGAATGGATGGTAAAGTGGGCTTTGCCTGAATATGGGAAGATCCAAAATAATACATGAGTTCTGAGTTCTTCGAATGAGACTAGGATCTGGGAATTATAGGATGTTTTGTCTGAATATTTCGGCCAGCTGTATCAATCCCCATAATATATAGTTAGTTAGTTAGTTATATATTTATAATAAAGCTCCTCTTAATAATATCTTCACGTTTCAACTAAATCTGACAAACGTCATAGATTTTCGCTTATGCGAAGGTTAAATTTCCGGGGAGTTTCCTTCATCCGTCTCGGCTTCGTCCGTCGTATGTCCGAGACGGCCTATAGACGCACCGAACAGAACATAGCACAATACGAGCCACATCCCTGCAATATAAATACACGGAATCGTAACCTCAAATAACCTCCATAATTGACGACAATCACTCCAATCGCCAACATCCAAAATGGTCTCTCTCCCAGACGTCCAGTCCTCAAATGCCCAAATCGCCAACACACTCCCAGCAGGCCTCGTGGCCGTCTTTGTAGGCGCAACAAACGGCATCGGCGAAGCAGCCCTAAAAGAGTTCGCCCGCTCAGCCCGATCACCCCGCGCCTACTTCATCGGTCGCTCACAAGAAGCCGCAGCCCGCATCACAGCCGAATGCCGACAGTTGAACCCGGAGGGAGAATTCACCTTCATCCAAGCGGACGTCAGTCTAATTCGGAATGTCGACGCGGTCTGTCGCGAGATTCAAAGTAAAGAAAGCAGTATCAACATCCTCTTCCTTAGCTGTGGAACTATTCGGTGCGGAGAAGGTTGGATATTATTCTCACATCCCCCACAAGAAAAAATATAGTTGCTCATAATATACGAACAGATACATCCGAAGGCCTCCATATCATGGCTGCAACTGGATACTACGCGCGAACACGATTCGCCATCAACCTCCTCCCAAATCTCAAACAAGCAGCGGGTCTACGCCGTATCGTCAGTGTCCTAGCCGGTGGACACGAAGGTCCTATCGATGTGAATGACTTCCAAGGAAAAGAAATGACCATGCTAAAGATACGTGGACATCTTGTGTCCATGACTGATATGGCACTGGAAACACTGGCCGAGCAAGCGCCAGAAGTGACCTTTATTAATGATTACCCCGGTGCAGTCAAGACTGGGATTGGACGCGAGTCGAATACTCTTCTGACCTGGTTTATGACTATCGTGCTTATGATTATCGGGCCTTTGGTATATATCCCAATCCGGGAGTCTGGAGAGAGACATCTATTCTTCGCGACGAGTGCAAAGTATCCTCCCCGTGTCCGTTCCGATACCGCGACGGAAGCTTCCTCTGGTGTGCCTTTGTCGGAGGGGTTTGAGGTTGCCAGTGGGACGGATGGGAAGGTTGGGAGTGGGGTTTATAGTATTCACTGGAAAGGGGAGCATGCTGGGCCAAATGTTGTTGAATTGTTGGCTGGGCTGCGCGAGCAGGGGATGGCGCAGAAGGTCTGGAAACATACGGTTGAGGAGTTTGATAGGATTGTAGGGTCGGCGGATGTCTGAGTCGGAGGCTACCTTTTGGTGGTGTTGTCAAGTTTCGATTGGGAGCGGGTGCGGTATTGATAGAGGTATTCCCATTCTTCGTCCTGTAATATTGCGGGTATGCAATGCAGGGCTTCCAGTAAATGATGTATTTCTTCGTGTTTGGACAGTCATTAGTGAAATCAACTTCCCCCTGCACCGTACCAAACTCGATAATTGCAAATTATAAAATAAACTAGCCATAAACGCTAAAAGAAATACCTAGGTAGGCATTCTGTTCTCAAGCATAAATGATAATGGATACCTAGCTAATGACCAGGTGGGACCTCACTAGGGAGGAACCATGGATCGGTCCCGGGGGTATCGGGCCGATCTAATGACATAATCACAACACCCTCCAGGGTTGGGCCTCCTTGGAGATCTAATGCAAGCTGACACCCAAATAGTGTAAATTTATACATGTAGGGATCTTGACACAATTTCCCGGGTTATTATATGTCGATGTATAATTCGCCATGTCATGGAAGATGGGGTCCGTTCGCAGATCCAGTATCGCTTAATCCGGTATTGATTGCGAGGGGCTAAGTTTGAATCCCTTACTCCATAAGAGATCATGAAAAATAATGCTCGACTCCACTGAAATTCTCTTTTTTGCTTAGAACCTTGCAATCGTTCAAATGTTGTTATTGTTGCAATCTTGAAACCTCCGCACTTGTCATATGTCACTCCCAGGCAACCATCTCAAAGGAAGTCCTATATCATCCCTTGCGGCTTTTTTTTCGGAATCAAACCCATCTCACATCTGCAAAGGTCATCCACATTCTTTTCAGTGTGCATTGCTGTCTCTGAGACCGAACGAAGTACTCCGTATAGGATACAGATCTATTGAGCCAACGAGAGCCAAGCACTTTGTCATATCATCTACTCCCCACACGGAGTACTAGTACTGGGGAACTAAGCGAGATCGGGAGATTTTGATACCCAGGAAATTTTTGTCTGATATTCTCTGCTCCATGTGAGACTCGAGTCTATCAAATTACAATATCTATTTCCCCCGGATCCTCCAGAAAGCCGTGGCAATGGGACACATGAGTGACAGCCTCACCATTCTCTATGTCGGCCTGGCCGCTGGAATATACCTCAAGCCGGAGTATGCTATCTTCAACTCCAGGATTGTGACGGCCGCTTTCCTTCTCGGGATCATTAGTGTGTCAAAAATTGTTTATCAACTTGTGTTGTATCCCGATTATTTCACGCCCTTGAAACACATTTATTCACCTGGGGTAGGCTAGTCATCATTACTATGGATCCGATAAATGTGTCTAATAACGTCTAGGGACGAAACTGGCTCACAGGCAATTCGACAAGTCTCCTGTTTGAGACTCCCTATGCGAAGCTACGGGAGTGGGTAAAGAACAGGCCCGATCAAGGTCTCATCCGGTACTATATGATCGCAAACATCGAAAGAGTGGCTGTAACAACCCCGAAAGCACTGGGCGAGGTGCTTGTTACGAATGCTTACGACTTTGAAAAGCCCGAATTGGTTCGGCAAGCTTTGCTTCGCATTACAGGTGATGGGATCCTACTTGCTGAAGGTGAAGAGCATAAGGTAAATTTGACCCTCCAATGCCACTCTGCATAGATTCAAACTTACAATGTCCCCACCAGACGCAACGCAAGAATCTTCTGCCAGCCTTTGCCTATCGCCACGTCAAGAACCTCTATCCAGTCTTTTGGGACAAGAGTATAGAAATGGTCAAGATGATTGAGAAAGACCTACAGAGTAGAAAGGCGAATGGTAATACCGACAACACAGTCCAGATAAGTAACTGGGCTAGTCGAGCAACCCTAGACATCATCGGCGTCGCTGGTATGGACCACGACTTTGACTCTCTCCGTGATCCTAATAACACTCTCAGCCAATCCTACCGCAAAGTCATGTCATCGCCACCCCTTTTCATGAAAATCCTTTTCGTCATAGGTCTGCTATTAGGAAACCCAGCATTGGTCCACGCATTACCGACGAAACGCAACAAAGACATCAAGGAGAGTGGCGAGGTCATCCGCAATGTCGCACGACAGATGATCCGACAGAAGAAGGCAAAGATGGAAGACCCCAATTCCGAAACCGGCATTGACATCATCTCCGTTGCCCTCACCAGCGGCACCTTCGACGAAGAGAACCTCGTCGACCAATCCATGACCTTCCTAGGCGCAGGCCACGAGACAACCGCCTCAGCACTACAGTGGGCCGTGTACGCACTCTGCCAGAACCCCAACGTCCAAAGTCGTCTGCGGGATGAAATCCGTGCTAATCTTCCCTCCGTGGACGATCCGACTCCAATCTCCGCAGCCGCTATCGATAATCTCCCATACCTACATGCAGTGTGCAACGAGGTCCTCCGTTTCCACCCCTCTGTGCCGACGACCACACGCAAGGCGGTTCGTGACACGAGTATTGTCGGCACACATGTTGCCAAGGGTACCACGTTCACGATGTCTCCGCGCCTCATCAACCGACTGGAAGAGCTGTGGGGACCAGACGCGAATGAATTCAACCCCGATCGCTTTATGGGTCCCGGTAAGGCTAATACCGGCGGCGCGGTTAATAATTATGCCTTTTTGAGTTTCCTGCATGGCCCACGGGGGTGCATTGGGCAGGGCTTTGCGAAGGCGGAGCTTGCTTGCTTGCTTGCTGCTACTGTCGGTCGGTTTCACATGGAGTTCAAGTTTCCTGATGCCAAGTTGGAGATTCGGGAGGGGGCTACTCATGCACCTAAAGATGGAGTACTTGCCTTACTTACACCGTTGGAGGGGTGGTAGGTCTGTATCAGATGTGGGCTTTGGTTTTGTGTGGTCTTTGCGGTATATATTGCTGGTCCTTTGGGTGATTTTGTGTTAACGCCGTTCAAGGCGAGCTATCGGAGTGTTGTAGTAGACGACTGTGCTCGAAGTTGATTTACACGGATGTATATTCATTAGTGATTGTTGGGAATACTATACACTCCTTGACCACTCCAATAGTGTCTGGGCTTTCATTTTCCGTTTTAGCGCTCAACCCTTGCCGGTTTTTGCTCACTGAGAACTAAGCAACCGACTCCATTCACGGCGTTACCTGAACAGCCTGACTCAACCCAACTCATTGCGACTTGACCCCCCCGGAGACCAGCTGACGAGATAGTATCATATCGCAACCCTTCCTTGTTGTTCATTACCACTTCCTTGGCCAACAAAAAACCGCCAAAAGTTTCAGATGCCAGCTTTTTGCTAATTGCGTGGTTGGCTTTTTGGGTTCAGCTTTGACTCGTTGGTGTTATTAAGCTGATAGCACCACGGTTGTCCATTTTCCGCAGACATCCGCACCATTGGCAATCTCCTCGGGGGTGCAAGGTCGACGGTACGATAGATTGAACTTGCTCTGATCCACAGGATTGAAATGAATCAGATCAATACGAGCCGCGCGCGGAATCGCATCACTAGGCGTCAAACCAGCAGACTCATGTTTGATAACATGTTCCATCACAGCGATGTAATGATCCGACGTCCAAAGACCTTCTCGTCGCGGGAAATCACGCAATAGGCGTACCGTCTCCCGGCGCGTATACCAGTCGCGGCATTTACAGCCAACGAAATATAGTATTTGTAGAAGCATGGGTTTAGTGGAGAACATGGAAGCTTGCTCTGCCAAGTTCAAGTAAAGTGCTGCCAACTCGTTCATCCGCTGGAAAAGGGGCAAATAGGAATCGTGAGCCATCTCATCCAGCGGGCTCTTAAGAGTATCAAGTAGAGTATCACAGGACATAGTCCATAGCTCCATCAGTATCATCGGGCCGCGGTCTTGTGGCGATAAGGTATCCCTATTTGCCGAAATGAAAGCATTGAACTCGCTCTTCCAGTTCATTAATCTCTCCTCGGTTGTCTTTTCCACACTATTTTGATAGAGTAGATCGGCAAGGGCGGCGTTCAGCCCCCGCAGACTAGATCCTACGCGGAGTTCGAGTCCCGGTGGATAATTCGCCATGATAGATGCCCCAATAACAATCACAAAATCAGTTTCAGACACTCCCGCATACCCATATACAGGTTGGCATACGGTAATCGCCTGCCAGAGGGGTAGGTCATCCGCCGCTGCGTCTATATCATTCAGTGCTTGAGAGAATGTAAGCCGGTGTAGCTGTAGCTCTGAAAATGTGCGCATTAGGAGCGGTCCTGAGGGATTCCCGTCAAAATTGACCTTTTGCCATTCCATAAGCACATGATAACCGGACCGTAGGTGCGAGGTCACGGCCATAACGTCGCCCTGGAAGAGAGATAGCGACACTAGCATGATACACGAAACAAGAACGGCCTCTCTATGCGCGCTGCTTGTCGTATATGTATCTCCCTTCGTTAGTCTCTGCCGCAGAGAAACAAGGGCCTTGGTGCACTGCGCTAGCGTGAAAGACGGGATATTATTTGCCCTAGGCTTAGCCATAACCAGGGATTTGGATTTGAAAGAGTCGGTTTCTTGCATAAATTGCCAATGCATAGAACTCAAAGCAATGGCTGCATGTTGCACAGCAGGTTCCTCCGAGGCGACCTGGTGAACGAGTCGCTGCCAGAAGTCATCGACCATATATCCGGTGCATTTCGTTGAAGTATGTGTCTTGAATAAATCAAGGTACCATCGCTCGGCGCGTGAAAGACCCACTTGACTTGGATCGAGTAACCGTCGTGCAACGAAATAACCGGGGTCTGAATTGGGGGCAGAATTGGGGGCTGAGTAGGGGGCCGCATTTGGGGCTGGGCTAACGACCTGTATGTCTCGTATTGCGCGTTTACGCCGGTCCGGAGTCTCCACGTATTCGCATATTCGGCCCGTTTTGGTACATTTTAAACATGAAGGGTACGTTTCATCGCACTTTTTGTGTCGAATTCTAGAAAGTGATCAATTAGTTACCGGAGATCTCGAAAGTAGCCCACGTGTTAGCTTACTTACTTGCATGCTTGGCAACCAGAGCGAACCTTTGGATGGCTTGCCCTCGTTCTTCTAGTATTTATTTCTTCAATCATCTTAATCTCGAGAGGCTCAATTGCCTTATCGGAACGCGTGAGGTGACCCATTTGGGCTTCAATGTTGAAGAGTTGGGTTTACCGCCTTAGTTTCAAGCTTCCAAGGTTCACTGGTTCACCCCGAACATATTTCATAAGCAAGAACATATTTCATAAGCAAGAACATATTTCATAAGCAAGAACATATTTCATAAGCAAGAACATATTTCATAAGCAAGAACATATTTCATAAGCAAGAACATATTTCATAAGCAAGTGCCCTGGTGACGCGTCTTGCATAAATTATGTAAGGTCATTTATGACCTCGTCCACGGGTCCACGGGTCCACGGGTGAGTATTTTGTTTACATAATCCATGTCGACGTCCACGGGTGGAGTTATATACTGACGTCTAGATATTGACTTTCCCGAACGATAAACACTGGCAATATTCAAGAGTCATCCAGGAGCCTCATCATTTGATGACTTTGATGGAACCAATTTCCCAGCTGGACCCCTGGAGTATCCAGCTCCAAATCATCAGGCATCTGCTGTTGCATTGCCGACATAGTCGCTCTTGGCTGAAAGCTTGACGCTTGGTTCATGAGTCGTTGGCCTCGGTCCTCCGTTGTTCCAGCCGAAGAAGCCGCCGCAGGCGTGTGAGCCCCATCGAGCGACCAAGTATCCGGTGCCGTGAATAACTCAGGGGAGTTTGAATCAGCACCAAACCAAACAGTGTTGCCGTTCAGGTACCTATCCATGTCCAGATCGGTAAAGGGATCACTGATCATCTCTCCTGATTGTCCTTTCGCTTTGGCCTCGACGTACTTCGCGGCAACGTCATACAGGGCCTTGAAAATTCGTAGTTGTTTACTGCAGGCGGAATAGCGAGAGGATTGTGCCATCGACTGCAGGCTGACAACCAATTGTTGTAGTTGATCCATGTCGGACGAGTTGAGTGTCTCAATGGCGCTGCAGAACAGGATTAAAAAGGGCATGAATGGTGCTAACAAGATGATTTCGTTGACCCATAAGTCGAGGCTGGGGGACCACAACGCCGCGTCTGTGAGCATGGTAATGCACACTTCGGTCTCCTTGAGCGTGGCTCTCGCAGCTGAGATGCATTCCGGACAAGGCGCCAAGCTTGAAGATTTTCCCGACGGAATTCCTCTATATATGGAGGCTAGTATAGAGTACTCGATGGCTCTGTTTGCATGGATGATGAATCTACTCGGCCCTGGATGTGCCACATGGCTAGTCCACTGATTTGGCCGTTTCTGCACCCCAAAATTAGCCCGAGGGTAAGAGGAGGGACCGGACTTTGGCTCCCTGCCCGCGATCATGCATGGAAAAATTGGGAAGGGAACGGCTTACATAGAACTCCACTCTTGAGGCCATTATTCTCTTGAGCTCAGCAGCCAGGGCTCTCGTACGAGATTCTCGAAGGGAGACCGGCTGCGATAGCGCACTTGTGCTATATATATTGTCATACACTCGTCCATAGAGGCTAGCCACATCGATCCAGTCAGACAGCCTGTTATGTAGTAAGGAAGTCATATTTCGGTCGAGCAGCAGTCGCGGCACTGTGATGTCGTGGTCTCTGATAGTGGAGGGCCTACCGAGACGTAGCGACACTGCCTTTTCAAGGGCATAGAGAGCCCAGAACAGTCGTATTCCCCGCCGTGCTTCTTCTGTGGGCTCGGTTGCCATAACAAGCTTGCTATGCAACCCAAGGGCCTGAGCCATGAGTGAAGCCCTAGAAATAAACGCCCACGCCGCGAAGGGTTTGCCATGTTTGAGGCAGTAAGTAGTCTGTTTGATTTTCAATGGGAATCAGTTGCCATAAACAAAGACAGTGAAGATTTAAGCGATGAACATACAGCCATATACATAGCACACACCGAGACTATATTCGTAGTGATGTGGAAGGGGAGGCTAGATAGGATTGTTTCGAGGCTGTCGCTGCAGATGAGTGCTTGTGCCTCATACTCCTGCTTGACTGCATCGTTTCCAGTGACACTCGAGCACTCAGTGAAGAGCAAATCAAGCCCATAGTGGACAATTATCAGCTCCATATCCGTCACTGGTCCGGGCGAGCAGGCCTTGATGACGTATTGGGTAAAGTCACCCAGAGATCCAAACTCGAAAGGCCAATAGACCTCATTGGACGACCGTTCTTCTGAAGGGTTAGCAGACGGCGCAACTTAAGTGACAAATAAAGTGTACGAACCGTGTGCGATCCTTAAGCATGCCAGGATTCGGTCCATAGAAGGTATAGGCAGATCCCTGGAACTAAGACCTGGAGGAAGCGCTTTCGAGAATGGATGTGAACCTTCCAGCGTCTCATTCTGTTGCTTCTGAACGTTGACCGTGCTCCGCAGGGCATCCAGCACCGAGGTCATTTCGGCGGCGACGTTCGAGTATGGGTCATTCGCCACGACGGTTTGAAGAAACCTAGTTGCGAAGATGACATGGGCGAATAGCGTCGATTCGATGCCTCCAGCTTCCGCTAAAGGCTGGTGGTGGTTTGTAGCCCCTGTTTTATTATCACTGGAAGCAACTCGCGACTCATTAGACCGAAGCGAGGAATGTAATGGGGGTTGCATTCCAGCTGAAGTCGCCAAGCCACTGTTACTGTTACTGGACCGCTCATGACTTAGATGCCTCATCATCTCACTGAGGTCGTCAATTTTGTTCGAAATGTGCTCCATTCTACTCTCGCTGATGTTGCAAATTGGTGATTTAGTGACTCGATACATAGACTTGCGTATAAGCCCTAGAGTTGAATATGCGGTATGAACTTACTATACACTCGAGATGAGGACCCGTTGGCGCTTTTCCTTGGCTTTCTGGCCAAACTGGTAGGTACACTGCGATCCCGTTTTGATGCATTGCGAACACGGGTTAACGCGATCACACCTGGTCTGTGAGAAAAAGAATAGTCAGCAGCAAGCTCGCCGTGCTAGACTTATCCGGGCAATCTCTGTTGTATTTCCAGCTAACTATAGAAGACACACCTTTCGTTTACGGCAACGATCACACTACAGCTATGGTCAGCATTCAAACGCCGTGCAATATTGGGTATGATAAACGGGGAGCCCGTACAGACACCTTCTCGGTTGTCACAATCTCGTTCTCATGACGACCGTTCCATTGTGAAAGTAGGTCCTCTTCTAGTGCACAACCCTGAGTATCACCTTCGTCTCTTGGCACTTGGTCTGTGGGGCTACTTCTGCTGTCGGCAGGCGTGCATGACATCATTGCAAAAAGGTCCGAAGGGCCGTCAAAGTGATACTGGAAGACAGGTTAGAAGCCGAATGCTAACATCTTGATTTGAAAAGACGGAGTTTTCATGAGAACTGTCCGACCAGAGTGCTGGAAACCAGAGTGCTGGAAAGTGCGAAAAGAGCCGACAGTCTTCACGGATGCGCGGAACGCCAAGAGGCCGAAGTCCGCATCGACAGCCTGCAGCCACCCGTAGACCCCCCAGCCTGCGGAGTCATGGTGTCCGTTCTATCAACTCCATTGCTCCTTACCAACTGGTTTCGCTTCGTAGGGTACACGATTCCCGGATGAGGGACTTATATACTATGGGCTCCGTATATGAATCGCAGATTCCCGGCATTGGCGACGGAAAGTGGCATATCAAGTTATCCTAGCAGGTCATTGACGGAGTCCTTCTTCTTTCCCCCTATCTTTTCTCTTTCTGTGAGCAAATTGCCTTCCTATTCTTTCAAATTGCCATGTATTTCAACCCTAACAGAGCCAGTTCCATCGAACATTGGAAGAAATAACAACAATGAAGTATCGCGGCGTCGTTTATGATGTCGGACTGAGGTTCGGAGACCAGGGATTTTCGGTCGAACCCTTCGACCCAATCCTAGTAAAATACGACATGCGCGTCATCGCCAACGACATGCACGCCAATGCTGTACGGATCGAGGGGAGGATATCCATCGACTGGAATCTGCTGCACGGGCTGCTCACTCAATAGGGCTCACGGTTTTCTTTAACCCGTGGAAGATGAATGAAGGTGTCGATGGGACGCGCGCCTATTTTGAGGACGCCGCGGAGCTGGCCGAACAACTACGAAACGAAGGCGTCGATATCATTTTTGTTGCTGGCTGCGAGTACACGATCTTCAGCAAAGGGATCTTTCCTGGCGAATCTTTCCTTGAGCGTGCAATGTGGCTCGGCGCTCAGTTTACTGGCGGCCATATGACGAGAGATATCCCCCAGGTCTTACGCGATAAATCTGTGGAACTAAATAAAGTCCTGCGGTCTTTTGCTAGAGTTATTCGCACCAAATTTGGTGGACTGCTGACATATTCGGCCGGCACCTGGGAACTGGTAGACTGGGACATTTTCGACATCGTTGGTATCGACTATTATCGCCGAGGAGAGACTGAAGAGGAATATGTTGCTGGTCTCGAGCGTCACAGGTTCGGCAAGCCTCTTGCCGTTATGGAAGTTGGTTGCTGCGCTTATGAAGGAGCTGCTGACCGCGGCGACGGCGGATTCATGCTTCTGAAGAGCACGAATCCAGATGGAAGCGGCGTTTTCGAAGGTGGCGTGGTCCCGACTCGGAGCGAGCGGGAGCAGGCCGATTATCTCGGCACACAACTCAATCTCCTTGCTGCTGCGGACGTTCATGCGGTCTTCGTCTATGTGTTTTCATTCCCGTGCATGCGGAGGGGGAAGGACCAAGGGACCTTGACATGATGTGTTTCTCATTGGTCAAATACTTCCCGGATGGGGACCCGAGGTCGAATGTTATGCCTCCCTGGACACATAAGGAATCTTTCCACCGAGTTGCGGACTTCTTTCTGTCCATGCTACAGCCGCAGCTATAGTGTTCCAGTGCACCGACTTTGTTATCCAGCGTGACACCATTTGATGCTGTGAGTTGTTTACCGCTTGCATAAGACGAAATATTCAACAGCCAATCTTCCCGTATACTATAGCTCTATAACAATTTGACGGATGCTTCCTATTCTATTGGTATTGCTCTCGGAAGACCATAATCTTCTCAACTTCGTTGCCAGCAGTATCCTCCTCTACCCAAGCACGCCACATACCACCACAATTGAAGTCGAATACAACCTTGCCCCGATGTAGTTTGACATCCGATGCCCTGTTCACAGGGAAAATCTCTGCCTCTATACCGATAATACCTCCTTCACCCTCGCCAGTCTTTTTCCATCTGGAGCCGGCCGAACGTTGAAGTTCACCACCAGGCCCAGTAACAGCCGTCACTGCGTCTGCAAGTCCAGAGGGGAACCTGCCTGGCGGTGAAAACCGTAGCATTGCAGCAACCGTGCGCGCAGCCGCAACCCGAAGGAACGAGTCTCCATTCCCCGTCCCAGAGACCGCGATGGCCCGCCGATGAGAGTATTGAGCAGAAGGTTGATAAGAATGACAACCCTTCTCGAACCCCAAGTCCAGCTGCCGGGAGGAACAATCACCCGAAAGGGGCGAGTAACTAGGTAGGGCCTGATCTCGCAAGAACGACGGTATGCAATCCCCGAGCCAATTTCTCGCGTTACGCAACAAGCCACCGACAGAGGAATCTTCCGACACTGCCTCAGCACCACCCGAGACAATCTCATCCCAAGCCTCGGCCCAGAACCCAGCTCCCAGGGTAGGCGTATCACCAATTCTCCCGGGCAACTTATTCGTCAAACCACCGGTACTGGTAGCAACAGCCAGATTCCCCCACTGATCAAGACAGACACACCCCACAGTGCCCTGAGTTAGAAAGACAGGCTCCTCCTCGCCCTTCAAACCCCTTATATGCTCATCCCATCTCTTCTGCGTAAAGAACCACTCATCGGAACAAACCTCCAATCCCCAATCCCGAGCAAGAGTCTCCACATACGGAGCAACGAGCTGGGAATGCATACTCCCTCCGTCATCTACAGGAGATCCATCAGCGGCGACACCCGATCTGAGAAGCGACTCGCGCGCGAGACGGATCGGGTGACGGACATTACGGAGGCCCATCACGCCTGCGCCGCGTTTGATTGCGCCTGGCTGTGCTGGGTCGGGGTGAACGGATGTCACCATTATGGAGGCTTCCATTTCGATAGTGCCGGCTGTTGTGAAGACGCTGCCGCGGCCGCAGTTGAAGAGGGGGTCGTCTTCGAGGAGGGAGACGGCGTGGACCGCTGCATCTAGAGCTGTGCCTCCATTTTTGAGGAAGGCGTGTGTTGAGCGGAGATAGGATTGGAGTGAGGCGTGGTGGGCGGCGTAGAGGTCTGGGGGTAGTTTGGAGCGTTGGATGTTGCCAGCGCCACCGTGGATGATCAGGGTTGGTTTGAACGAGGCTGGTTTCGTCATTTCACTGTGTATCTAGGTAATTGGGCTGGTGGGAATAGTTATGTTGGTTGTTGTTTGGTGCGGGGAAAGATAAGGCGGAGGCGGAGTAACATTGTCTGAATTGGGGTATCATCCATATCTTCTATCGACATTGCATAAATGCAACCATATAGGGCTATGTACAAAGCTACCTAGTTGAATAATCCATGTGCAGGGTTGAATTCTATCACGATGGCAGATTCCAAATAAAGTCTAATGTCCCACCATCATACATGGGAAATTGACATCCATGGCTCATATCAAACGGTGCCATCGATGGGTCAAAGGGCAGCGAAAGCCAGTTATCTGCACCAATATCGTTCAAGGACGGGATATATCCCAGATCTGGTGGTGTGTCCTGCACTACTGGGGCCCTCATGGAATTTGACCGGTCACCAGTGTCCGGCCCCGGCCAAGGAGGGGGTCCCATGGATGATCTTCGCGTGGCGTCTTGGCTACTTTTCGCCACTTTCGACGACGCAAGTAGATTCCGCCGCAAGCGCGAGACATGCATTTCTAGCAGTGCAGCGTACCGCGTGCTCAGATGCACATCATCCAAGGCGTTTGACTTGAGTGCTTTGATACTCTTCTCTAGGATTTCAATTGATTCCTGGAGCTTGGCTTGCCGTGTACCCAGACTGAGGGCTTTCATCAAGAAGATCGAAGCACTGGTTATGCGAAGAACAATTCGGACTGGCGAGAACCGTAGCGCCCCTACCTCGGCTAGATGGGTGACTTTTTGCAAGATCTGGCCACATCCTTCGATCACCTCTTGGATGTATTCGTAGTCGGTTGGGTCGATAGTCATGGGTCGCACCCCATCGAAGCTGTTGTGGTCGTTCTCTGCGACAGCACGCTCCACTACTGCTTGCATTCCCACTGAATGCGTGTAGACGCGGACGAAGTGGTACTCGATGAAGAGATCGTTGTAGAATGCTTTATCAAGTACCTGAGGCTGTAGGTACTTGTCTTTCCATTGGTTTAGAAGAGGTCGGAAATGTTCGAGAAGGCCTACATAGCGGCCGCTGTGCAGTTGCTGGCGTGCAAACGCGGCAGAGGGAAAGAACATATCAGTCACAGACTTGGCTAGTTTGGTAAGCTCAATCCATGAATCCATGAAGGTCAGCCATGTGCTGCCCGGTGGACTTAGTCCCTGTGGCTTCCGTCCGCCTAGTATGGCATGGTTTAATGATTGAGGAATTGGTGACATGCATCCGATCCGCCAAGCCAATTGATTAATGTAGACATATAACAGACGTTGTACACGTTGCCAGCGGATTGCTATTTGATCTCTCCATTCTGGTTCGTCGGTTGGTGAGCTGGTCTCTTCTGTCTCGAATATCCCTAGCTCATGTGCAAGGGAGAGCGCACACCCAAGCAACATCCAGGACATTTGGTCAGATCGGCGTGCTGGTTCAATTATATCTTCCACCCCGCCACTACCAGGTGCTGAGCTTGGTTCTTTATTCTCATGGTTCCTGGGGGCTGATGGGATTAAATCATCGTCCCAGCCATCTGTCTCGGGCGGAAAATGCAAAGCACGAGGATGCCATTCTGACATCAACAGAAGTGCCTCCACAGTACCAAGACTCCGCACCTTGGATTTTGTTGATTTTTCTTGCCCAAATATCAGCCGCATCGTCAATTTCTGGCAATGTGACCATAGTCGATGGTGGATAAAGAAATTCCTCGACTCTCCCCCTGCTCCAGGAAGGACGTGATAGCGGGAAGAGATCATGAGAATGGTGGAGCATAGAACTGGCTCCCGAGCAATCAGCCAGTAGTGATATCGGTGATTGGAGTAGAAATCAGTTAAGATTGGAGATAAACAGGACATATTCTTAAAGAACCTACTTCGGGTTAGCTTTTATTTGGCGGGGACGAGGAACATGTAGGGAACACACAGATCAATAAAAGTCACAGCCTCTCTAGCACTAAACCAGCCCATCTTGACAAACCGACAAGCCTCCCAGACATTGAGAGTATCTTGAGTGGCGTCGGATAGCTTGACGGGACGTATTACCCGCGCCACCGACTCAAACGCGAAATCGTGGTTTCCGGGTGTTCGATCTTGTGTACTCGGACCTGCCGATGGAGGCTCAGCTAGTGATTCAGAGCTAGTATCGGGACTATTATCTTCTTGAGCAGTTGCAGCTTCGAAGAGAATATTGAGTGCATCATTGCCACTTGACACGACAGTGCGCATCATAGAGCTGGCGAGGGTGGAGTTCGATTGGTGTCTGTTATTTTCATATGTATGAGAAGGTGACCGATTAGCCCTTGGGGGCCCTACGGAAGGGTGATCGAGGGAGCCTCGATGAGAGCTCGCTTGATCCCGATGATATGACCATCCCGACTGAAAGTTGGTCTCGGGTATTGAGTTGGCTACTTCGCCTGCATGATGCATGTTCTGGATATGCCCCTGTACGAGAACAGGAGTATCAGGTGACGATGTCGTAAGTTGTCTGGTCTGTCGGGGTGAGACATCCGTCTCATAGCTCGCCGGTGATCGCGCTAGAAATTAACCAGTTAGGTATCCGCCGATTCAGATATGGTAAGCAGTCAATTCTAGCGTACCTCGTTTGCGTGACCTTTCCCACGCGCGTTTCTCGGGGAATACACAATCCCTTAGCTCCCTTCGGCAGCGCGCACATGGTGGGCCGATCGGAAGACCATCTGGGTCGGTTCCTAGGTCGCATTTGGCCTTCCGTTGCCGGCAAGGGATGCATGCCTTGTAAGTGCGTTGATACGGCTTGTCCGGACGGGAGGATCTGACACCATCCATCGTCAACCGTGCCTGGGCGGATTAGCCAGGATCTCTCCTGAAGTGGATTTCTGTGGATTCTGTGGATATTTTGGTGATGCTATGGATAATTGCAGGGAGACAAAGAGATGTCGAGCAAGGATTATTACCCGGCGATATCCGTCGGCCCCGCATAAGCTTCCCCGTCCACGGACTTGTTGTAGAGGTGAGAATTAGTCCACTAATTAAAATAGTACCAATGCATATATATTTTGACATGATTTATGAATGAGATTCTGTTCTAGTTTTAGCCTGAATTTGATTGGTGACAAATTGGACCTTGCTGAACTGACAGTTAATAATCAATAGAAGAAATCGCATATATATATATATCACACAGAGTATCAAGGTTTCAATCCCCAATAGCTCTAATGCAATATAGGTAGGACAATATACACTATTAGTAGAATACCCCACGTTCCTGCTAATAGTTAGAATAATAGAATGACACAAATGATACAAATGATATCCGCCGAGAGTTATAGCCGAAATGTGCGTACGCTTGAACTCGGCTTCAATATGACGGAAGTCATTCCGCCCCCATACTCTACATGTACAAGTCCACCTGGCCAAGGTAAACCGGCACATAGGATCCGTGTCTGGGGGAAAAAGTAACTTATAACGTAGTTGAACCTATGTAGCTTGGGTTATAAGCACAAATGCTCTTCCTTGTCTAGGCCCGTTTTCGTATCATCGCCACTCCAATATCCCATCAATCGAATACCACCCCAATCCTTCAGCACAATGACCGACACAGTGACTCTCCACACCTATTTCCGCTCCTCCTGCTCCGCCAGACTCCGAATAGCCCTACACCTAAAGCAAATTCCTTTCAAATCCGTCTACGTGAATCTCCTAAAGGGCGAGCAATCCTCCCCAGCCCATCTGGCCATCAACCCTTCAGGAACAGTACCAGCCCTAGTAATCCAGCGCGACTCCAAAGCACCCGTGACAATCACACAGTCTCTCGCCGCACTTGAGTACCTCGCAGAAGCATTCCCAGAGCAAGGACCCGCGTTGCTCCCTCCGATCTCGGACCCAGAGAGCCGCGCTGTAGTCCGCACACTGGCGGATATTATATCTTGCGATATACAGCCTGTTACGAACCTCCGAATTTTGAAGCGGGTTGGAGCGCTGGGTGTTGATCGTGCTGAATGGTCGAAGGATTTGATGGAAGATGGGTTTAGGGCTTATGAGGTTGCTGTTAAGAAATCCGCTGGCAAGTTTAGTGTTGGAGATTCTATTACCATTGCGGATTTGTGTTTGATTCCTGCTGCCTGGGGAGCTCAGCGGTTTGGTGTTGACTTGAGTCAGTTCCCGGTTACGAATGAGATTGTGAAGAACTTGGAGGCGGAGGAGGCTGTTAAGAAGGGACATTGGAGGTCGCAGGATGATACCCCCGAGGAGTTTCGTATTAAGGAGTAGCTGAAAGGGCTGTAAGTAGTAAATTGACTCTCCATCAAGGTTCTTGAAATATTCCATCGCCCGTGCTAGTAGTAGAAATGGCATTGTATAGCAGGCAGTTCTTTATCCTAGTTGTGCTGGCTGAATAGAATTGGCCGAGATAGTATATCTCAAGCTCTATATTGTGGAATTAAACAAAACTGAAACAAATCATAAAACACATTGATCATTTAATTTGATTTTAAGTCATTTACTGCAGTGAAACGGTAGGCAGGATAGTGCCAACACAATCGCCGAAGCCGACATAGTTGCCTTCTGTCCCAGCCATACCGCGCAGAGTAACAGTGTCACCATCCTCAAGGAACATACGCTCAGAGCCATCCGCCAGCTTAAGAGGAATCTTGCCGTTGGTCTGTTCCAAGAAACTACCCTGAGTCTTCGCCTCTTTACCAGAGATAGTACCCGATCCCAGCAAGTCACCGGTGCGCAAGTTGCAGCCCGTGATAGTGTGGTGAGCAACCATCTGAGGGAAAGAGTAGAGCAGGTTGCGAGCGTTGCTGTTAGAGATAGTAGTGGGCTGACCGCCGGGGTTGGTGACCTCAACATCGAGGGGGATTTCGTAGGCACTCTCGGCGCGCTTCTCGCGCAAGTAGGGAAGAAGAGACTCGCGGTTTGCAGGCTCCAAGCCGGCGGCCCGGAAAGGCTCGAGCGCATCGATCAGAACCACCCAAGGGGTGATGGTGGTACCGAAATTCTTGGCATTGAAGGGACCCAGAGGGATGTATTCCCAAGCCTGAATATCACGGGCGGACCAGTCGTTCATGAGAACCAGACCGAAAATGTGGTCTTCGGCCTCATCAATTGGGACAGGCTTGCCGAGATCATTGGGCTTGCTGATGAAGCAAGCAAGCTCAAGCTCGATATCGAGCTTCTTGCAAGGAGAGAAAGTAGGCACCTTGGGGTCCGCGGTGGGATTCGCCAGGATCTGACCCTGGGGGCGGTGGAGGGGAGTGCCTGAAGTCACAACTGAGGAGGCACGGCCGTGGTAGGCAACAGGAAGGTGTCTATAGTTAGGCTGGAGCGCATTGTCCGGGCCACGGAAGAGGACGCCAATGTTGTAGGCGTGGTTCAAACCAGCGTAGAAATCGGTGTAATCGCCAATTTGCATGGGGACATGGTTGGTAACCTGGGACAAGGGCAGCAAAGCTGACTTCTGGAGGGAGACGTTGTCCTTAAGGAGCTGTGGGAACTTTGTGTCGGCGCGGAAGACGTTCTGTAGATACTCGCGCACTTGTCGGTGCACAGGGCGACCAAGTGCAGCGAAGTCATTCAGTGTCGGCTGGCTGAAAACAGCCAGGTGTTGCTCAATAGTGGGTAGCTGTGAGAAACCTCCAGATGAAGCGAATGCGCTCAAGTTCAATGCATGATCGCCGATTGCAATCGCAGCTGTCTTTGAGACAGACTGTGTTGAGATGATGCCGAACGGGATGTTGGCGAGCGAGAACGGCGAGTTCTTGGGGATCTGAAGCCAGGAAGTCATGATGAATTAATGATGGAAGAGTTTAGAGAAAGAGAAAATCCAACTTTACGGGTCTTAACTACTTAGCTATGATGTTTAGTGCCCCGAAGTGGTGCGGAATTTGCCCGCTTCCCCCGCATTCAGCCGATGCGGAACGAAGGATAATCGCGGGAATTATCAGATTGCCGCGGAATGATGTGACACTCACATTATTTGCTTCTTTGAGAGAAGATCCGAGGTCTGATCTGGGATATTTGATGAAGATAAAGGTCGGCATTATCCAAAACCACATCACATCACTGCCAATATGCCTGTCACTAAGTTCAACCACCCCGATCCTTATAAGTACCAGACGGGCTTCGACTCGTATCACGAGTATGTATACATATAGTTTCCAACACAAACGAACACAAATTAATAAAGAAATAGGACGGAAGCCGTCGAAGGAGCTCTGCCAGTCGGTCAAAATTCCCCACAGAAAGCTCCATATGGGCTCTACACCGAGAAGCTCTCCGGTACAGCATTCACCGCACCTCGCCATGAGAATAAGCAAACATGGGTCTATCGGATTATACCCGCAGCAGCTCATGAAAACTTCGCCGCGGAGGATGTCGACTCGTATCATACGAGAATGACAACCGAGACCCACAAACTTCACCACATCCCCAACCAGCTGCGATGGAACCCCTTCGATCTAGATGAGAAGGTCGACTGGGTGCATGGACTCCACCTGATTGCAGGATCTGGAGACCCCACTCAGAAGCAGGGATTAGGCATTTTGATGTATGCCGCGGGCAAGGATATGGGCAAGGAAGCTTTCTACTCCGCGGACGGAGACTTCCTTATTGTACCTCAGCACGGTGTGCTAGACATCCAGACGGAGCTCGGCCGCATTATTCTGCGACCAAATGAGATCTGCGTCATCCCTCGCGGTATTAGGTAGGTGTCTTGGCTATCGACCGATGTTACATCGTAATCAATAACTAATCACTTCCATCAGATACCGAGTGACCCTCCCAGATGGCCCTGTGCGAGGATATATCTGCGAAATATACCAGGGCCACTACCAGCTCCCGGAGCTGGGCCCTATTGGATCCAACTGTTTGGCAAATGCACGCGATTTCCAAGCTCCCGTTGCTGCATTCGACGACGAGGAGGAAAGCGAGTACAAGCTTTACAGCAAATTCAACAATTCGCTCTTCGCCGCGCGACAGAACCACACCCCCTTCGATGTTGTCGCCTGGCACGGCAACTATTACCCCTTCAAATACGATCTCGGCCGATTCAACGTTATCGGTTCGATCTCATTCGACCACCCCGACCCTTCTATATTCACTGTACTGACGGCTCCATCGGACCACGTTGGTACCGCCGTGGCTGACTTTGTTATCTTCCCTCCTCGCTGGCTCGTCGCGGAGGGTACTTTCCGCCCACCATGGTACCACCGTAACACCATGTCGGAGTTTATGGGTCTGATCTCTGGTGACTATGATGCGAAGGTCGGTGGTGGTTTCAAACCTGCTGGTGCTAGTTTGCACAACGCCATGAGTGCACATGGTCCCGACTCGGGTGCTTTTGAGGGGGCTAGCAATGCTGAGCTGAAGCCTCAAAAGGTTGGTGATGGAAGTATGGCTTTCATGTTTGAAAGGTTAGTTCGATTTCAACTATTAGTTCCGAGATTTATTATATTTGCTGACAATGATTTAGTGCTCACATGGTTGGCGTGTCGGAGTGGGGTCTGAAAACCTGTCAGAAAGTGCAGCCAGAATATAACGAGCACAGCTGGAAACCTCTGAAACGGCACTTTGTGAACCCTAACAAAAAGGCCTAGGCTCGTTTGGGCCAGAAGCACTGCAATAAGGACACAGTTGCACGTTTTCAAATACTACAGAGTAGAGTTCTTTAGCCTAACAAGATACCAGAATTCAATCAAATCACTCAAAGTGAAGTTTATTATTCCTTCGCTATTCGAAATGTGGATTTGAAAGGATTCTCCATCCTCGGTTATCTTCACCCCTCAACCTCCTTTCTCATTGCCTCCTTAACAATAGCCCCACACATCTTAGCGTAAGGATTGGTCTGCACAGAAAGCTGCTGCGCAACCTTGTTTCCATACCGACCCCCAAAGAAGAAATCCCGACTAGCCATCTCTTCAAGCTGATCCGCTGAAAGTCCACGCAGACGCTCCGGACCCGTTTCGTCAATACGAGAACCCGCTTTCTTCACACGTGCGGCTTTCAGGAGTAAGTATCCCCGATGCGTGTGCGCGTCAGCCAATAACCGTCCCTGGGTTGTTGAGACTGCATCAGCGGGGGAGGCGGGTGTGGCCAAGGTTATGGCCTGGCCTATGTCAGAGAATATGCGAGAGCATAGCTGGGAGGTTTTAGGGGCAAAGAGGGCCGCATCGGCTATCTCCGTATCAGTGCGCTGATCACCACCCGCTTCTGTGCCGTAGATCAGATCCACCAGCAGGCGCAGTGTTTGTGCACGGTTTGTGTATGCTGAGGGATATGTTGGATGCTGGGTGAGAAGTGTGTCGAAGTCGTTCAGTGCTGACTGGACTATCTCTATACTTGGTGATTGGTTTGGTTGCAGCTTGCGAATTATATCGGTTTCGCGCTGTTTGAGCGACACCAAGTCTGCTTCAGAGATGTTCAGGGATGCTGGCCATGAGGGGAGCGATGAGTTAACGGTAACTCCTGACGATGGAGAGGATTCGGCATCAAATAGAGCTTGTAGTACAGCCGTATCATTAGATGTCAATGATGGGCGAGCAGTTGTGATCGAAGTCATCTTGGGAATCGGTGTTGAGGTGAAGGGTTGAGGGGATACTGTGAGATTCAATTTAGAATAGGATCACTGCAGAATAGTTGAAGAATGAAACCAAATGTCTCAAGCAACTGACAATGGTTGCAAGAGATTGAGACATCTTCGGATATTACGAGGATCTACAGGGTCTCAGCGGGTCCGGATACCTCAGGGTATTTCACGGGCCTGAAATAGCCGCACTGCCGAGTGGGTGTATGTATCCGCCGAGACAAATTGCGATTACAAGGTTTTACGCGATCATTCATTTAAAAGAAACAAGAGTGTATCTAGACTTAACTTCAAATAACTCAACGGTCGCTCATCTTGTACTACCATCTTTCTACATTCCATCCGCCGATATCATCATACAAACATAGAGATTCATCAGTATGGCCCCTTCAGCTATTTCCAATAGTCCTCCCCCTCAGTTGCCGGTGAGGCATCTTCAGTAGCCAGCTACCGCGGCTACGACCATGTCCATTGGTACGTTGGCAACGCCAAGCAAGCCGCAAGCTACTATATCACCCGCATGGGCTTCAAGCGTGTTGCCTATAAGGGCCTCGAAACCGGCAACCGCAACATCTGCTCCCATGTCATCCGCAACGGCGATATCACCTTCATCCTGACTTCCCCTCTACGGTCCCTTGACCAAATTGACCGTTTCAATCCTGAAGAGCAAGCCGAGCTTCGGGAG